AACAAAATCGCAAAACGATGTGTCGCAATTCTATGATAATTTATTCTAAAAATTATTAAAACTCGTTTTAACTGTAATAACAAAAAAATAAACTTTTAAGAATTAAAAGTAGATACATCACATACGTCGTGTTAGATTTCAAGATTGCTGAAAAAAAAAAAAAAATGCACAGACGTAAGAACGTTGGCACGCTGACAGGAAACTTGAGCGAATAATTGGTGCATTGTACGTACGCTATAACATATTGGCGTACGTGTGTTTACTGACAGATTATCTCTCATCTAAATCGAGCTAAGAACAACTTTGTTTACTTGGAACAAAATCAATTTCTAGTAATAGCAACGGTCGAAAAATTTTCCGCTTTCTATCTTTTTTTTGTCAAAGAACGGAATTACGAGCGATTTACTTTTACAATGATTTGATAATCGTAATTGTAAAAACACAAGCGTGAATTTCCTTGTATGGTTTTTTTTTTTTTTTTTTTTTTTTTTTTTTTTTTTTTTGACATAAATTTAATGAAAGCAAGAAACAAAAAGAGCAAACGATTGGTAAGACAATTAGGCTTTCAAAGAATCTGTAATTACTAATGACGAGGAATCTAGAAGGAACGAGCGAGTTAGATGAATCATGATGACTGCAAAGTCTAGAAATGATAGACTTTGCGGCCAAACGCGTCGAGGCAGCTAATTGAAGCGCTTTAACTCTTCCACTTGTTTTTCTACTCAACGAACTTGTTTTCCCGTTAGCTCTTATAGAACCTAACGACTTTTTAAAAACGATTCTTTATTGCTCTCAATATGACGGCGATAGAAAAAACAAGAGTATCAGTTATTGTATCACGTACAGTTTTCAGAATTATCTACAATAAACTTTTGAACATGTTCGGAAGTAAAAAAAAAAAAAAAATAGTAATCCACACATTCTTCACAAAACTCGTTGACCTCAACGTAGGTTTAAATATTATATAGGAAAAAAATTGCGGTCTCTATCTTTTCCGAACGTACTGAAAAAAAACTCTTTAAGGATCCTTCGAAAAATCTCTTTGACTCTTTTGTCGGAATCACTTGTAGAAAACATTTGTCTTCAAAACAAAATATTTGTACCCGCAAGAAATAAATATTGCAACAAACAATCTTGTTAAAAGCTCGACATTCTCTTCCCGTTGAGCACTCCGTATTCTTATTTCACAATAAAACATTAGCGTATACATATTGTCGTAATTATTAACAACAAACAATAAAAAACTACAAACAATAATAAAAAGAATACATTTACGTACGCGTTTTAAATTCACGTAGACAAAAAAAATGTATTATGCAGAATCTGAACTTTGATGTTACATGCTTTTTAAATATTACGATGACATCTTGTTTTCTTCAAGACATTTTCTGACATAAACATTACCATTAACGATCTGTTGCGGGCTCAAAGTGGTCTCGAGACACGCTATATTGACACTTTTGTCTCTGGGAGCAAAGAACGAATGAGACGCCTCGCGACGGGACACCAATTCAGTAAAACGGTCTCCCGGGATCTGATGAATGGAACCGGTCCGTGTCTATTTACCTCGTTTATCGCGTTACGACCGGGGGATGGCGCCGACAATGATTTTCCCCATTGAGAAGGGAATATCCAGACGGAGTGAGGAGGATGAGGAGGGTGTGTTCCGGACCGGCGGCGACGTCGCGACGAAGGAGAGAAGCGGACACGAGCAACCTGTTGCTTTTATACGATGCCGGGATATATCCGCGTGCCTCTCCTCCGCACGCATGGGCAGCACCCACACGCAACATGTTGCAATAGCCGAACCTACGACGTGAAATATTCGCGCACAACAAGCTGGTCGGCTAACGCGCACGCCCGCGAGTTGTCTCGAGAGTCGCGCGTAGGTGGACGTAGGGGGGCACACACGCGGAGCTTTTTTATTGTCGCGAAAAGCGAGAGCTTCGGCGCTTGCGAGAATCAGAAACGCGGAGAGAAAACTGACTTTGTATGTGTGTATGTCAAATGCAATAACACACAATAAATATAACAATATAATAAAAAAAAGCATAGAAATAATTTCGAACTACTCGTCAAAAAATAACTGAATAAAAATAACAATTGAATTAAAATTGTGAATAATCCATGATTAATTTTAATCTAAAGAATCTCGAAAATAAGTTAAAAATCGAACAACTCCGTTCTCGAGAAGCTAAACGGACGCATTTCGATCGATCGTCAGCACGAAGGCGGCACGGCGACGGACGCGGCAGCTAAAGCGAGCAGCGAAGGAAGAGACGAAAAGAGAGAGAAAGACTAGCGCCAAAATAAATCAATAAAATAGCGAACCGAGTCGGGCACGTAGGTGCATGTACACGTACATATATTCATACATATACATACAACGTATGGCACGTATGGATACGAAAGGCAAGACGGGACGAAGCGAGGCGGAGAAAAAGAGTGAGAGAGAGAGAGAGAAAGAGAGAGAAGCAGCGGCGCGACGAGACGGACGAGGAGAAAAGTGAGTCCGAAGCAGCACAGGCGAACGAGCGAGTGAGCGAGCAAGCGAGCGAGGTCGAGACACGCGGCAGCTGTCTGGCGCCAGGGGTCCCCCTGTTCCCTCAAACAGTCGCGCCGAATACCACCCACCTTAGCCGGCCCGACCTATCGTGCCATTCTCAAACCTGCCTCGCATCCCGGGAGCCGACTTCCTTTCTCTCTTTCCTTCTTGTTGTATTCCTGCGCGACCTTACTTTTTCCTCTCGTCCTGCCGCCCGTGGATGCAACTCGACCCGACGACGACGCACATTTTGACGGATCGACGACGCAAACAGGCAACAGGATTCTGTATCTGTTTTCTTTCTGGTTCGTATTTCGCGAAACAAAAGATTTTGTATCGACAAATAAACTTCTCGGATTTAATCGGTATTATCGATGATACACTAAAAAATAAACGTCAATGTCCTCACTTTCTTTGTGCGTTTTATTTTAGAAATTATAAACGGATTTGTTAATTTTCGAAAGATTTTCTCGATTCGCGCGAAAAGAGAGCTGGATACGCGCTCGATTGAATTCTGATATTTCTGTTCCCGTCCCGGAAGCAGCAGCAACGTTCTATCTATAACTGGCTCAAATAAAAAAGCCGCGCGCGCAAGCGCGTGCTTATGATTCCGCACCATCCGCACCCCGACTCTCAATTTCACAGTATTCGCGTATTATATTATAGCCGCGTGCGATATCGCGCGAGACTATATATACGTAACACTTGCTAAGCCGACGAAAGTCGCAATCGCGTCACGACGCGATTCTCGTTTCCGGTAAAAAAAATGAGAAAAGCTCCCTCTGATGACAGGACGAGCGAGCATTTGCATAACGTTACTCTCTGTGTGTGTATCAGAAATTCCGAACCCGCGATCCGACGAGAAACGCGCGCTTGTAAGTTCTGTTTTTTTTTACAAGAAATATAATACACGCATGATTTTGTATTTACATATTTTACACTGCGACAGAGATTTGCTTTCTGCCTGATTAATATATTAGAATATTTAAAATAAATTATTTAGAAATTTATTTAAAAATAAATGAATCACAGTTCCTGTAAGAATATTCCAAGATTGTGCGCGTCGCTCTTATTCTCGTAAGATCGCAAAAAGTGTCCGGATATATAGTGCGTAATTTGTTGCCGGCTCGGTAGTGCGTCCGACGTCGTCAGAGCACTGGCCTTTGCATTGGCAAAGGCAGATAGTAAAAGTAAAGACCTCGACGAGCGAGAAAAACCCTCGCCGTCATTGTTGTTCGTAATATTTTGCTTCGATCGTGTTTTCGCAGCGACGACGTGAAAACTCGATCGAATGTAAACAAATCGAACTGTATAATACTTACTTGTAGAATATGTAGTAAATGTTTTTAAAACAAAATTCTTCTAAATTGTTAATCAAATTAAAGTGATATTCGATCTTGATTTCTGTTATATGAAATTTTTTCGATTTCTGCTATTTTGTTTTTACCGTCACTGTCTACGTCTTCGGTTTACGGAAAAGAAGTAGCGCGCCGGATTTTCGATGGCGTAACGGCGAAAAATGATCGAATATACAACGGGTTGCGGTGAAACGAGAATAATCATCGTGCGCGAGCCTGCTGCTCCGCGGTGAGAGAGCAGAGCGCACGATCACTTTCCTCGTTCGTTCTGGCCGGGGCCAAAAGCGTTTCAGGCGTTCCACGAAGCAACAGCAGCGGCAGCGAACGCGGCGAGCAGCACACCGAGAGCGGATCGAAAAACGACGAGTTCGCGATCCGTGCGGTGCGTCATGCGTGAAAACCTACGCGCACGTCAGCCCCGTGGAACGTGCGTGCTGAGGAAATTTCTTCGACGACCGTCGCGGCCGACACGGTAAGTAATGCATCAACCCTGCCCTTTCGAGAAAACCTTGCGGACCCCGATGGCTAAATCGTTATCACATATACACGGCGACGTATTTCAAACGCGAAGAATATACGAGCAAAAAGCGTATATAAGTTCGGTGCAGGTGGAGAGAGAATCTTTATGAGCTACAGAAAATAAACTCGAATCTTTCTTTCTCTATTCGAATCTTATGCATGTAAAAATTAGATATATACGATTTTAAATCTGACAACATGCGGCAATTAAAAAAAAAAAAATTTCAAAGTCTTTTTCGTGAAAGAAAAGTGAAGAAATCGATCGTGTTATTTCATCAATTACAAATAGATCAGTTAAAAAAATCGGCTTAAATGTGGATAATTTGTTTTCAAATTATCCACATTTAAGCCGATAACAAAGAGAGAGAGAGAGAATTGAGATCGTCGACGACCGTGAGAATCGTTTTGTTCTTCCGAAATTTTGTGTCTTAAACTCGACTCGTTATTCGCGAAACAATTCGTTCTCTATATCTTCTCTTTCTCTACCGTTATAACGACTTTTACGGGACACCCCGTATATCTCTTGTCACGAGATCGGCGCACATATGGGATACGTATAACCTTGAGGACATAGTTACCTTCTCCGTTGGTGGTAAGCGAGCCGGGAAGTGGCAGGGGCGTGCTGTTTTTGCACCGACGTTGATCCCCCTCGCTGGGCGCGCAATCTGAAAATAAACGGACAACCCCTTGAGAAGATGCTTTCCTCGCGCGCTCAAGACTATTTTCTTCTTCTCTCCGCTCTTATAAATTTCTTTCTCTCTTTTCTCGCGCGCGCACACACACACATACACACACACATACACACACACAGTCACACTCTCTCGCAAGCACACGCGCGGTAAGTTTGTTTGTTTGTTTTCTCTTTTTTTTCCGGACTAAAGAAGAATAACGAATACGCAATCACTTGTAATCGTTGCGCTCAAAGGACGGGGAGATGAAAAACACGCGCGAAAAAAAGTGTGTATCTTGGAATTACACGCGATACGAACGAATTTTGCAGCGTAATGCATCGTCACGAAACAGCGGTGTCTGTTATCGCGCGGTTAGGTGTGAGACTCTCGATGTGCGAAAGACGAGTGAAAAATCTCGTCGCGCGCGCGTTACACACTTAGAGAGGACTTATTGCATCCGGGGGATACGAACACACAAAGAGATTATTCCGCGTAGATTTTATATGTGACTGATATACGCGCACAACTCGGCGTCTTTCTCTCTCTCTCTCTCTCTCTCTCTCTCTCTCTGATAATTAACGTAATTACCTAGTCTCGGATTTCTCCGCTTCATCAGACGGAAAAGATAAATTCGATTCGGCGCAGGTGCGCGACGACGCGACGCGTCTTTGAGATTGCGCACCGTGTCAATGGTAAAATGATTTGTCACCGGCGTCCTGTGTCACGACGAACTTGCGAAGAAAAGCGACAGGTACAGAGGAAGAGAAGAGAGTTGCCGCGGATATGGCAAACAAATCTCTTTTCTATTTATTTGTCAAAACAAAAAGAGGAAGGATTAATAGCGAGGCTACTTGATTCATTTCTTGATGCAGCTATACGTACGCAGAATGCGTGTAAAGCTGGCATTGCGATTAATGGCCGCTGACTATTTGCAAGGAATTCTCGATCGGTCGCGGGGGGGAACGACGATAATTAAGCGCAACGATTTCCGCGGGCCAGAAGAGACAGACAGAAATGGCCAAGGTAATCGCCAACCGCGTGATTCATAGTCCCCCTCGCGAAAATTCACAACTCTCGCTCTCTCCCGCTCGTGGCGGTGACCACAAAGGAGGTGACAGAATCGTCCGAAATAATGATTCGCCCGGGACGGGATAATTTATTCGCGTACGCCGTGGCAAAAGCCTCATATAACAAGCGGAATGGTCGGCTAATTTGAAACGAAACAATGCTAATCTGTTCGTTTTCCTCGTAAACGTCCTACGTATTGATTTTAATGTATGTTTCACTTGTTTCTTTCTCCTCGCTTTTTGTTTGTGTTTTGTTTGTCGCGATGTGTTTGTCTTTTTCGAAAAACCCACTGTTTCACTATTTTTATCCACGTATAGTATATATTAGTATTTCCATTTAACATTTTGCTAATTAAATCGAGTCATTATTTTTATCAAATTAAATTTTATCAAAATGTAACAAATATTAAATTTACTTAAATAAATGAACAACAATAGTTTCCCGAAGGAAAATACTTTATCCCGTGAAATACTTGCCGCGAATATTTTCGAAGAGTTTATATTACATGAGAGTCGAATTCTTTCTCGAGAATCGGTGGCATGCACTAACAGTTTTAGTTTTAGGGATAGACACAAGAGAAAGAGCCCGGAGTCCATTCACTAAAAGAGAGGGTGACGTCAGACGAACAAGTCTGAGAGCGGTTACATTCCTTTTGGATTCCAGAGACTCGATTCCTGCGGGAGGACCATTTCCTGCCCCTTCGCAGCTTGAGACATTAGAAGCGGCGACGAGAGGCCAGGAGCGAGAAAGTGGTTTCAAGGATCTAGAAGACAGTCGTCTATTTTTAGGATGAGATTATTTAAAAATCTGCCGCTCACGCTGTCGCGTCAAGCAAAATTCGCAGGAGAAGTTCTCCCTTACTCTCTTCTCGTCAAATATTCGTCCTGTTTTATTTCAGACAAAGAGAGGGGACTAATATCCACAATTGTTTAATAAATAAAATCTCAAAACTCGTCTGACATCTCTCTTGATTAAATAAATGTTGTTTTTTGCTCGTCTCTTAATTAAAAAAACTAATTTTAATACCATCCGATTATGTAACACACTTCATTACTAAAAACGATTGAGACGATGAATATATTACCGAAACATCCTCTCGTTTCTGATTAGCAAGAAGCTGATTTATTTCTTTATGTTTTTTTTTTTTTTTTGCTTTCGCTATATAACTGGTTGAACCAGAATAATAAGTTTCATCGAATAAAAGAAACGGACAAGTTTCTCCAACACGTATGTAAACTTGCTGGCGGAACTAAAAAAAATAAAAAACAAAAAGTACGAAAAATAAAATATTGAATAGTCGTTTAATCTCGGGTGAATTTTCACAGTTTTTTGGATTCACGCGCGACGCGAACACAATCGGAGCGCTCGGACGAACATCGGGCGCAAATATTTGTCCGACAGATAAGGAACAAATTAACACACAAACGCGGTTTTATTTATACGCTCGCTGTCAGTCAGCGTCCGATATATATATATATATATATACACACATACATATTGTACCGTATATAAAACAGCGCGCTGCCGTGCAAATACATTATATTTACAAAGTCGACGGAGAGAGTGAGCTCGCTGCGCGCGGTTTTTGGCACGCGAGTCACTCCACAAAGGGAACGTAAATATAATTCCACGAATTACGCGTGTCACCGTAAGCCGTTAAGTGCCGCGCGAATCTGTGAGATAGTGTCACCGCCGAGTTTGCAAAAATATATAGCCAGGCGGAAGATTCGACCGGCGGCGCCACCGCGTGTGTTCCACCGCTTGCTGCTCGCTCGCACAACCAAGGTGAGCGGATTTGTGAATTATAGGCTTTGGCTTAGGGGAAAGATACCCGGCAAGAGAGAGAAAAAGACGACAAAGAAGAAGAAGAGAAGAAAAAGAAGAAGAAGAAAGAGGAGAAAAAGAAGAGTCGCCGCCGGTATCTTCGCCTCCTCGACGAGACACGCCACTATTTTGTATTTATTCTTTCTTCTTCCTCTTATAACTCTTTCGCCGCTTTAATTACATATATCTGTCCCTATATTTTTTTCTGCGCGTTGAACGTCGCTCACTTTCTCGTTGAATTTACGAATTTATTTTTTTGTTTTTCACGCGTGATTCTTACAATTTTAGGTAATTTCTTTTTGCGCGGTCTTTGTTTTGAATCTTCGACAGATCGTAATATCGTGAACACCTACGCACATTACGTACCTACCGCAAATTCCGAGTATCGTCGCAAGGTGGATCGCGTTTGCGCGACGTTGAATGTCGTGACATTGGGAGAACCGTGCGAGACGTCACGCATTATAATGCGCCGTGTGGCGCACTTGTGCGATGCGCGCTCTCTCGTCGAGGAGAGAGGATTATAACATTATACAGCGAGCGGGCAAAGCTGCATCGAATTAGGATCTCGCCGACGGATCATCAAACGCGGCATCTCGTCGGGCTTCTCCGATCCGGAAATCGACGTGCCTCGCCGCACACCACTCGCTCTCGGTGTGCTCCGCTCGCAAACGCTGCCGGCGCGTTCGCTACGGCGAAGCCGGGGCACCGGAATGCGAGAGAGCCACTCCCGCCGATCGTCGCCCGGCGACTCGCGGCGGTCGCTCGAGCGAAGACGAGGGAGAGGAGGATGAGAGAGACAGAGAGAGGTTTCATTATACGAATATGCAGTTTCTACCGCCAAGTTGCCGATAAGCACGCGTTTCCTCACAAATTTCGCGACAGGTTCTTCATCGAGAAGTTCGACGATAAAGCACACACTTCCCCGCGTCAATTTTTATCCTTTAACATTCCACGTATTTTCATCACGTAAAATAAGTTACGTGTCATTGAATCAATACTGTTTACAAGTTTGTTGTCGGCGGCGAACATAAACGTAGTACCTATTCGTTCCGCGAGAGGAGGGAGGGGAGGAAGAAATATTGAGTAAACGCGCGGTAGGCAGAAGACGGGATAAACGAGGAAGAGAGCGCAGAAAGAAGCTTAAGAATTGGCAGTAAGGGGAGGAGCAGAATGTGCGTGCTTGAGTTTGCTCTTTCGAGCAAAGAGAGCAGCAAAAGACGACGCGAGAGATAGAAGGAGTGGGAAGGAGATCGGGGCGAGCAGACGAGAGCAGCGAGGGACAGAGAAGGTCCGGACGGAGGGACCGGACCGGAGAGGGCGAGAAAGAGCGAGAAGGACGGAAGGAAGCGGAGAAGGGATGTATTCAAGGACGCCGATGCGGGTAGGCAAGCGTAAAAGCCAGGCGACAGGCGCCCACCGTCCGCTGGTACTCAGGGCCCGTGTTACCGCTGTAAAGTCGGTCTCCCTTTCCCTTCTCCCTTGCCCCCGCCTCTCTCGAGCTGGCGCTAAGAAACCCTTACACCGGTGCCCTTAACCTCTCCCGGTGTAGACGTATCGAACATCTTTTGCTTTCCTTCAAGATTGCGCGCGCCGAAGTTCCGAAAGCATTCCCGTGACGAGATAATATCCATTAGCGACGAATTTTAAAGAACATGATGTTTTAAAATATTTTTTCTATCTTTTTCCCGATCTCTTTTTCTCTCTGACAAAGTTGAGATTTCTCTTTTCACGAGATTAAAATCGTGTTCTTTTTTTTTTTGCGATAAAACGACAGAGACGATCCATTTCTTTGTTTCCTTCAGGAAACATTTGCGCTTTATCAGCGCGAGTACACGCACTGACGGCTGCTGTTGACGTTTTTCCGCGCATTTTTACGTTTATCTTTTTCCGCGAAAGATCGCGCGTGAATATGTTCACTCCGCCTCATTTGCAATGTAGAGTACGTAGCAGGAAAGACAAATTACCGTGGTGAAAACAGATCTAAGTTGTAACAAGGAGGGACAAACGCGTCGCTGAATTAAAAACGTAAAACCGCGTAACCGCGGGATACGCGGCGATGTTTGTCCTCGCGCGTTTGAAAGGGACTGCGCGGCGTTGTGTCCTTCGTTGTATTCGTTGAGAGAGAAATTTGCGCAACTACCATATATATATATATATATATATGCCGGGTGACTTGTCTCAGACAACAAGTGGCACGTGCAAAAATCCACCACATAGTGAGATAAAAATACATAAATACATTTCCGATTGTGATTTTCTTTCTGTTCGATGTTACGTTCACCTAAAAATCAAAATATATAGAAGACAAAAAACCGAAGTTTACGTATTGTTCGTGCGAGCAAAACGTAAATATAAAATCAACTCATCAAAGTCACTCACTGTTTCTCTCGTGTTTTTATCATAATTTTATACGAGACACCCGATATATGCACCCGGAAAGACGCAGAGGTGACAGGTCGCCCCGCGGCGCGTTCTTTTCCACTCCCTTTTATTTTTCCTCCCACGATCGAAGCACGCGCGCGTTTCGCGGAATCTCCCTGGGGCAGCAGTCATCGGTTCGCTTGAATCGCTCCACTTCGCGGTACGAATGTCGCGCAGCAACAAGTGGCGGACTTTTATCCGTTTGTTGCGGCAGCACGCGGTGGCCCAGTTTCCTCCGCGACAGGAAAACATAAATTCGCGACGGCGGTGTCGCGTCCGAAAGACAGATTTACGGGCGCGAAAAAAAAAAACCTCTTACTATAACTCCCCTTCTTCTTCCGAGAAGAAACGCGACGCGTTTCCTCCTCCCGTGTGTCCTTCTCGCCGCCCGCGCCGTCGCCGCCGCCGCCGCGAGAAAATGCACGTTTCGATTACGCGCGCGTTTTCGATTACCATCGTGTATCGGTGGTGTTGCGTCGTAGCATATACGCACGCGCGCGCGCGCGTAAAGTAGGGCTATGGTCGTTATTAATAAGTCATGAATTATTCACGATTAACGAGTAAACAGTCACGTTAAAACGCGATTCTCATACTTGGAACACACGGCTGACTCGCTGGACGCGATGCCGACGCAACTCGCATAAAACGTGCGCCGGAAATAAAAAGAAGCGTGCAAGAAGACAATGCAATTTCTATGCGCGAAAACGAATGAAACGCGCGCGCGAATTTTTAGACTCAATTACGCATCCCGATCGAAATAGGAGCGATGACAACACGTATTTTATATCATCCTGTAGATTTTGATTTACGCAGAAATAGGACATTTGGCAGAATCCTCCTTTGTATAAATACGTGCCGCTCGCAAGACGCGATCCTCTCTGTCGAGATATAGGAGATATTGACCTCAGGCGATCACACACACATACACACATACGCTATATATTTCTCTAACACAAGTGCGTCCATTAGAATCTATAGACACACACGTAATATTGCCTTAACGTCATCGCGCTCCTAGCTGCAGGCGCTGTTATTTCGTCATTTTAAGCTTGGCGCACACGCACGCCAACGTCGATCGGATTTAAAACACGCGTTCTCGTTCCCTCGACTATTTTTATTAATAAAAAAAAAAAAAAAAAAAAACTTGTAATACATTACACATCGCGCGCCATTGCACTCTGTGAGTGATGTAATTTTGTCGTTAAATATCTCGAAGGCGAGTATAAATTTTCAACATTTCGCGACACAGTTTCAATCGATATCAGTGCGCCATTGTCTCGCTCGATTACAACGCCCGGCACACATTTCTCGAAGAAGATACCGATGAATGAGAGGGCTCGACCGACCACACGACGTCCATTATATTCCCCGTAATTGCGCAACCAGCTTCTCTCGCGCGAGAGGTATCTCGGCAAATGAAAGGCGGTTTAAAAGGCGAATCTGTCGATGACCGCGTGTTTTATTGCTACGATCGCGCTACTCTCGCACATCGATTCTCCGCGCCGGGGGAGAACCAGTTTGTGGGATCGGGCGCGGAGAGAAACGCGCAGAGAGGCGGCGCGGTCCAAAACCAGACGGAAAGAAAACGCGACGACACGCGGGAGGAAGTAAGAAGACGTCGTGTGGTCAGCAGAAACTATCGCCGCGAATATCTCTCCTACGGTGTCTTTTTGCGATTTACGACGCGGTTCCTCGTGTTTATTAGCGCTTCGTATTAGTTTTTTTTGTTTATTTTTTATTTTTTTAATGCTATTGTCGATCAGGGATAATTTTGAAAAGAGAAAAACACTACGCAATGAGAAATTTGTATTTTTGAGACACACATGTGCGCGCGCGCAATGACTTTCAATTGAAAGTCTATAGAATGGAGAACGTCGATCTCTCGCAATTTTGAGACGCGTGCTTTGAGATCGATCTCCACCCCTCGATCAACAAGATCGCTGAAATGATACCGTGACCTATCGACGATCAACAAGATCAGTTTACGGTGCGGAGAGTTACAATAGAATTGTGAGCGAAACAAATGTTTTTGATCTTTGATTAATAGCTATCGAAACTTCTTTTATATTTTTGTATATCTGTTATACTCGTGAGAAAACATTTGTGCTCTCACGTGCGTGTGTGTATGCGCGCGCGCATACAATTTATTTCTTGCGAAATTTTGCGGCAGCAAGTTGAGAACCCGCAATATGTGCGGCTAGAATGTTATCGTAAATGTATCTCCACGAATGCGCTATAAGTCTGGTCTTGCTCAATTCTATCTAATAAAATTGTCAGATTTATTCGCGACGGAAAGGTCCATTTATCATTTCAGGAATTCACGGCGCTGTGAAAAATGTGAGAACCTCTAACTGTACGATTAGAATTATATAGTACATATATATATATATATATATATTTATTTACTCACACACACCTATACGCGAATACTGGATATTTATTTCTACATTCTTAGCATTAGCTTCTACTTTTTACTCTTTGCCCGTTGACGTCGAACTCTCTCGACAGAAAGAAAAATATAATACGTGTGTATCGATACTTGTGATCTTGTTGATCTTATAACACACCAATATAGATTATTATATAATAGCGCGCTCTTGTTAAATTCGCGAGCGATCACGTCGCAAAAGTAACTTGGCTCTGACACTCGAGAAGCTTAAAATTAATGAAAGCGACAAAACAATAATTTGGAGAGAAGTCAAACATGAGAAAATTTTATGTCTTGAAGAAGTAGACAGATATTAATTATCTTTAAATTTCGTATTGTTCGTATAAATGTTTGAATGTTTGTAAACTAGATTTCACCAACGAAAGATAGTGTCACATTCGTCTCGGATTATCCCTAACCTTGCTTTGGGCTAGGTCATGAGACAACACGCGCTTACTAGAGAGGGAGAGACGAACCTCGTCGTTGCTTGTACGGTAAACGTTTGCAAGCAATAAACATGAGTTATCGCTGGCATGGTTGCGCGAAGACAACACACGATTGCATACACACATACATAATGTGTGCGTGCATTTCGTGTTCACACTTATTCGTAGAGAGACACTTCTGATTACGGTGTGAAAGACGAAGAGAAATAGAATGAGAAAGAGAGACACTCACCTTCGGGTCTCAGTCTGTCGGCGATAAGGCAATACGGGGGTGGTGGCGACTCTGAAATCAGAAATGATAATCGCGTATTGTTTTGCAGCTCGAAACTCGAATATGAATCAATAATATTTGTGAGGAAATCAGTAAATAAATAATTATCACAATGTTATTAATTGCAGTGTAGAAATCATAATTATTTTTAATTACGCAGACGCTTCATAAATTAAAGATCTTATTACAGAAATTTAAACAAAAATATATCTGTAAATATAATATTTAATTACACATAAATATTTATTAAATTTATAAATAATCTATAATCTATGAATATATATAAGTTATTGATTAATTCCATATCTAAGTGATCAAATTGTATTTATACTTTCATTTAATTGCTATAATAATTGTTTTTTTTTTTTTTTATTTGAATCGAAGAGCTGAAGCTATATAAATCAACGACTGCTGAGATATCAAGAAACAGACACAAGGCTCCAGTGTCTTTCGATTAAATTGAATTTAATAGCGTCGACGACGAATGACAGGCGCCCATTAGACGAGTCCAGATCCAAAAGCGGCGAGTTCTATTATTGGCACGGAGCGCCAGCAAAACCGATGCATATGCGCGTTTGGTTTTTCGTCCTTTTAAGTTTTATCGTTTTGTAAGTCTAAAGGACAAACCGTGGCGCGAATATCTCGACCGTCAAGGTAACTCCCGTACTTAAGAAAATGGAACGGCGCCGTCGTGCGTCGTCGCTATCGTTCGCGGCATATAGATGAGACATATACCCGATTAATTGCATTCTCGAAATCTCTGACCGTCAAAACAAGTTCGAGAATACAAAAAAAAAAAAAACATTTTTAAAACGCTTCGCAATTTTTGCCGAGAGTGAGAGAGAGAGAGAGCAACAATTCTTTCTGAATAAGTTTCGTAATTTCTCGTAGTTTTTCCTGTTATTTAAGCGTCGAAATAATGTGCATTAATAATTCGATAAAAAACAAGTCGTTCGATTTTATTTATCGCTTCAAAAATATGCGTTCGAATTGTAAGAAAAAAAATCACGCGTGTCGCGTCGCAATATAATAACAATATTATATAATCAGAGATTGGACATCGGAGATTGTGATCACCGATTGACATCGCCAAAGAGCTTTGACGTGCGGAAAATAACACACAGATCTGTAGGAGTCTCGTTTTTCGGATGAAATTACGAGTGGCTACAGAAGAAGAAGCTTTCGGCCAAGCCGAAATTCCTAGATAACGAGCGCGTGGCCCGATGTAGACGCGTAATGGCCGTCTTGTCGCGCCTACACGTGGATCCTCTCTTCATCCGTCTCTCTTTCACGATCGCGCTTTGCTTCGATCCCTCTCCAGAATCGACCGACCGACCAACCGACGTCGTCGTCGTCGTCGCGTCGCCACCGAGCTTTAATAAAGCCGGCGGCGTGTCACTCATCGACGTGCACCTCAAACTTTGAGCTGGCACGACCCGAATACCAAGAGACGCGAGCGTGATTTAAACGGCGATAATTTAGCTCCCAATTAAAGCACTCATAATAAACGCACACGGCGCTTATAATCCGCGTGATCGTATTACGTAATACGCGGTAGCCGCGGGTGTCTCTTCCAAGCGAGACGCGCCTATTTCTAGGCCTGTTTACCCGATCGTCGGCCACGAAAGATAAATGTTATTGCATTTATCGTAAGAATCAACTGATTGTATCCGCATCACGTCGTATCGATCTCGAAGCGGAAACGTCGTAGACGAGAATATAATAAGAACCGTAGATATCGTTTCCTTTGGTCGAATGAAGTCACGCTTACGCGCACTGAATCTATCTACCTCGATAAATCGTGTCGCGCGCGCAAAAAAAAAAAAAAAAAAAAATCGCGCGAAAAGGCTCGCTTCCTCATCGTGCCTCATCCATGAATGAATGTTCGCGCGGGCGAGGAGAGACGCGCGGCGGAGAAAGTCGCGCGCGCGCATTTTTATACACGCTCGAATCGCGACGCACGCGGCGATTAAAAAAACCTGCGCCGCGGCGACGGTTTGCGCAACGACAATCCGTCGCCCCCGGTCCGGCCGATGATAATCGATTCGCCGCGACGTGAATTATTAACCGGCCGTCCCTCCGGCAATATAACTGCTCTCGCGTGTACGTCGCCAAAATGGAAAAACAGATAAAGACGGCGGCGGGGTCTGCGTCGCGGCATTTGCGAAAACGAGGCGCCACTGCGGGGAGAGATTTACGCGCGATAAAAAAAAACAGAAAAAAAAAAAAATGACCGACGCGAAATTAGCGTGCGATATCGGCGATATCGCCCGCGACAACAAATCAGCGAGCGAGGTTGCACGTAAATTGAGCCGTCGAGAAAAATAGACGAGAGTGCATCCATCACGATCGCTGCGCGCGGTCATGCGTCATTTGTATATCGAGAATCTGCGTGCTATTTCGAGCAATGTGGGCTAAATAACGCGTGCACTATCGTGTATTAACCTTTCGATGAATCGCGATCACGCGCCAGTGGGAACATCGCGCACTTTTCACGCGACCATCAAACGGTTGCAATATATAAAACGTGATTTGAATAAAAAATTGAATTGCATTAGTGTAACTTTGCGTGTGTTTTAAAAGTTATACTTTTATGTCTTTTTCTACACACACGAACGATATACCACTAGATTTTATTTTATTACAAAATAGTGTGATTTACACGTGATATGGGAAATAATATACCACGCGAGCGTGAATAACACGTGAATAACTGGCACCGTTTCAGCGATCGGTCTTTGTTGTTTCGAGCTCTAATTTAAGTGTCCTCGAAATTTGCTGCGATGCGCAGCAAATTCGAAATTCCCAGGAAACCTATTCCCGATCCGCCGAAAGCGCTAAATATGCGCATCCCACAGACTGAGAATATACATAATACTTTGGTAACGCCGGCCAAGATTTCTGACGCCTTCGCTGCCCCCAATCCCGACGAATCCGAAAAATCTCAACGATCGAAGGTCAGCGCCGCGAGTAGGCGAGACATTAGCTAATCCGAAAAATATGCATATAATGACGATAAAAACGAAATTCTCCCGTCGATTTCAGACAATAAAAAGAATCGCGAGAACCAGTGATTTATTAATTTCGAATCCCGGTGAATCGCGCTTTGTAGTAGAATATACTTGTAGTAAAATATACTTTATTTAACGAGATATCTTTTGTGCGAAAATCTTGAGTTTCAGATTTTCGAATATTGCAGCACAACAGACTCGAGCGAACTTAACGAGAGATTAAAGTTCAGAATTTAACTTCGCGTTTACAGGTAGGCGGTACTGAATATTTATTTTTTGTTTCCCAGGATTTCCTAACCAAATAATGGACAAACCGTAAGACGAGGGTTGCGAAAAATGTCGCTTTATTTTTCAACGCAACGACCTGTTTCTACGGATATAGAAAGATGTGTGACTTTCCGGCCGCGCGGTAAAACCGAGTGCTGCTGCTGGCCTCTTGCACCGATGCGAAACCAAGCGAGACGAGTTGAGTCCAAGTGGCCGGTGCCCGCTTGCTTTCTTGCTTGCTTGCTTGCTTGCTTGCTTGCTTACTTGCCTGCTTGCTTGCTTGCTTGCTTGCTTGCTTGCCTGCTTGCTTGCTTGCTTGCTTGCTTGCTTGCTTGCTTGCTTGCTTCCTTGCCTGCCTGCTTTCGTGGGGTTCGACTCAGTTCGGTCAGCTCCTCGGCTAATGCCGGCTGGCCTCGACAATTAGCTGGCGCCAGCAATGACACGCAGCGGCGCCGGGCTGCGGTCCCCTCTCTCTTCGCGGCAGCCGCGTCCCACCTCGCGATCCCGCTCCTCTCCGTGCCGGCCGTCGCGGACGGTACCTCCGCGCGCCGATCCCCTCGGCCGTCGTTGCCCTTCCTAACCGCACATGCTCGACGGCGCCTCGTCCTCCATCTACCGCCCGCTCTCACCCGCCGCTTCTCGTGCGCGTTCTCGGCCGCTTAAGCTCGTCTCGCTCTCTCTTTCTCTTCGTCTGATCGTCGCGTCGAATCCGTTCTCCCTCTTGCTTTCTCTCTTTCTCTCTCTCTCTCTCTCTACTTCTCTTGCAGCCGCTTCGTCGGTCGACCAACCCTTCCCACTCTCGCGTCATCGTCTTTCCGCCAGCCGCGACTGACTCGCCCAATATACGTTTTATTTTTAGATTCATTTCCTTCTGGCCATAACTTTGATTTTGCTATTGGTACTTCCCGCTCTTTTTCTCACGTCCAATACATGATTTCTCTCTTTTCTCCGTTCTTCGTTTACCTTTTCCAAGTTTTCTTCCTCTCCCTCGCTCTTCTTTTCTTTTCTTTTTTTTTTTTTTTGTATTCTAACGCCAAGATTTGGCGTGGTTCTTCGAGCGCGATCGAGGTGTCACCGCACTGACGCGTCTATTTCGCGCAGGACGAGATACACTCGCTCACTTTCTCGCGTCTCTCTTTCCCCAAATGCGTCAGCTTCTTCGGGAGGTGCATATGTATGCATATGTGGCGCGCGACCGTGTGCTATTATTAGTCCGTGGAAACCTCAGCGTGGAATTCGAAGGATCACCTTATTTTCTTGCGACGCGTCGTGCCGCGCCGTTAATTACGAAACAGGCGCGTCGCGATTTTATCTCGCCTTCTCTCTCGCTGTCTTTTTCTCTCTTTTTTTTTTTTTTCATTTTTTTTCCTTCGAAGGTGTCGCCGAGCAGATCGGTCGCGCCTGTTTGATTCGATTTTCCAGCAATAAACGCTCGATATTATCGATAAATCGTGCGCGCTCGCGGTGCACTCGACTGTAACGAATCGACGTCGTCACGATTAGGCCACTGGTCGGCGCCGCGTTCTCAAGCGCGCTCGCGCGCATGAATGGTTTCGCGTTTTACGGGCGGTTGTGCTCGCGCGCGTAGAAAGGCGTACTTTTTTCTTACTCAGCAGCAGCAGTCGTACGAGAGATATCGTCTTTAAACTTCTTGAACGATTAAACTTACGTCGACGTACCAGTTCGCGATTTTATAACTTTTCCAAGGAACGTTAAACGAGCAACGTGACAACGGTCGCAGCGGGATATCCCGCGCGAGTTTTTTTAGCCGCGTTGCGCGCGTACTGCGCAATTCGATTTATGGTCGTCGACCACCACCATGCGACAAGGAAGGCTCTATAGTTCGCGGCAGAAACAAGCGTTCTCGGTTTAGTACATTCGTAATGACCACGTAATTAGTCGGGTATTATTAATCGGTTTAATTAGCAAGATTTACGGCTGTTAATTTTGCGCGGAGAAATCCGCTTGTGTTCGGAAAGTTGTAAAACTTTGTCATTAAAATGTTTATTGCATAATTTTCATTAATTTGCAATTTCAAGATCTACTACAGAGCGATGAGAGATAGAAAAGAAAAGAGAAAAAAAATCCTCTCCTTTATAAATAGCGACATTTTATATAAATATTTATAGGAAGCAAAACGATCGCGCGCCATGCAACGAGCGGTGATGTTAAAACAACGTCGTGTGCCGCGCCGTGGCTCGCCTCGATCGAATTCGTTCGGCTTGGGCTTCGCGCGGTGGTGGTGTGGCGACGGCGACGGGTTAAATGATCGCCAGGGTTACGTAAAGACGCGTTTTGCTGGCGCCTGTTCGTTTTGCTTCCTCTCTCGCTCGCTCGCTCGCTCGCTCGCGCTTTACTACAGAATGCGACGCCTTTTTGCGGTCGAATAGTCACGTCGCCGGACGCGCAGACGACGTACTCACGAGATATGGATGCGGTGCCGCGACACTCATAAATTTGTGACGCTTTCTTTAAACCGACAAATATACCGCAACCGTAAACACTAAAAATGCGGCGCACCTACTTAGGCGTACTTATTGTAATAAAGAAGATGTTTCGGTCTCCGAAAATTGCGCGTCTCCAATGAAACTCGACGAGAAACGTTTGTTTGTTACACACGTCTTTGCTACTTGTTTAATTTCGAAAAACTAAATAACTAACAAAAAAAAAATTTATAAATTTATCTAATACTTCCAAAATAAATGCAAAATATAAAAAGATAAAAATAAATAAATAATCATATAAATATATATGAAGATAATTTTAACAAATAATCGATGCAATTCTATTCTATTAGATATATAATTGATTAAAATTTTGCAAGTTTTCAATTTCGGATATACACATGTCTTTCATTTTCTTAAAAAACAAATCCTCTGTGTAGCTGTAATCACAAAAGATGAAAAATCTAATTCTAGCGACAAATAAACGTAAAATCACTGTAAAGAAGTTGGCAACGTAAACACGCAATTTCTTCCTTTTCAATTTGTAGAACGACCGTGGATATGTATACCTGGCAAGAGAAGCTACATCGCAAAGGGATATAGTCAAATTGCTAAGAGACCTGTCATCGGTCTCACACTTTGTAAGTCTATACCTGCTATATATCTTTTGACATTTGAAGAGTTCCCTCTTCCCCAATCCCGTTTCGAATGTTACATGTTGATACGTGAAACTAACGAGGTTCGCCTTTGATATTTTCGACTGAAGTAACGAGATCGCATAATTTATCAAAGTGTTGTATTATTATATCGAGCTAAAAATTCGTTGAACTTAACTTCTTATTTACAGAATCCGTGATAATATCTCGCAAAATTTTGTGACTCAATTTACAGAAGCAAATTATGTTTTTTATTTTCGCATCGAGTAACAGATGTCTCCCAGTCCTTTTCGCGTTTACTCAGTTTTTTTTTGCGATGGTAAACAATCGTTCGCGCATAATATTGACACTTTGGAACTTCTCTAGAAAGTAGACACGGTACAGCGGGCAGTTTGTCTATATAGATTTTGCATTTTTTCATACCAAGCAGGTGTACGTTAATTCTCGCGTCCAGCGCCTAATAAATTTTCGCCTCACATTTGAGCTTTTAGGCTCGTTAGCGTCGGGCTACTATATGCGCGCACAGGCGATGTGATTAGCGACTTACGGTCTACTGCCGGTTTAAAAAGTAGGTAGCTGCGCATTACGACGTTAATTATTCCATCGTCTAGACACCGGTGCCGACGGCTAGACACGTTCGATACGTTTAAACGGTATGTTACGCGCGTCGTACACGTCCCCGAAATACGCCGCTGATGTGACCGGTTTCTTCGCTTACTTTTGCAATTAATTATTTAATCATTTACATAATAATATATTTTGAAAAATATTTAGAAAAAAAAAACTAAAGTTTGTGAGATATTATTAATTTTTTTTTACGCCAAACACACAGTTATGTAATTAATATTTGGCAATTTACGTTTTAAAAAAAATTCAAAGTTTGTAAATCATTCAGCAAAATAAGACGGACATTTTGAACGCAAAAAGATACACGCGAATTGACTTGAAATGAGCGACTTAAAAAATTTGCTCTATGTGCGTACAATTGATAAAATTTAATCCGAATGATAAATCGTGCAACTTGAAGATACACGTATTTAATGCGAATTTCACCGAAATGTTGCGTAATTCAAGAGCTGAGAGAGACTTTCGATCTCGTCAGTCATCCTTCAATGAGCACCGATAACATATATAACATAATATGAAGAAAAACGCTCGCTTACCGGGTTTGCAGAGCCGACTCCAGTGGTAAGGGTTGCAGCATATGTATACGGGATCTTTAGCGGAATGACATACGGGTAGTCTCTTGAGTTCCGAGGAGTGCTCGAGATCCGGCCACCGCCAGATCTGGCAGCAGAGCAGGTGCGGGTCGCACGGCGCGCCGTTACTTCTCTCGGTCGATCCTCTCACTGGCGCAGCGATGCCGCCACCGTTTCCCGCTTTACCGGCGCCGCCGCCGCCGCTGCCGCCGCCGCCGCCGCAGCGTCTGTCCGACGATCTCAGAGGCGACGACGAGTCCTCGGACGCAGAGCAGCAGCTCTCTTGATCGTCCTCGACCGAGGACGAGCGGTGATGTCTCGAGCGGTGGTGCCGATAATGACGGTAGCGATGATGATGATGATGGTGATGATGATGATGATGATGATGATGATGAAGCGAGTGACGAGGATGATGATGACGATGCGGTCTGCCGCTGTATTGCTGTTGCTGCTGCTGCTGCTGTGGATGATCGTATGGATGTTCCTCGACAACCGGTTGCTGCTGACGCGGTACCAAGACGCACGAGCTCAGGTCCGCGCCGTAGCTCTCGATCGCGTTCAGCAACATCTCCAGTTGATTCTCTTTCAGCGTCTTGAGAAGTTCCTTGCACCTCAACAAACGACTGGGATCTTGAAAAGACTGCTGCGGGTGTCGATCATCATCATCCTGACTGGCGTCGCCGCCGCCGCAGCAGCCCTGATGAAGCCTACTGGACGTTGTGGTGCGACCCCCGTATCCGATCACTGATCCTCCTCTTCCTTCTCCCGTGTTGCTTCTCAAGAACGATGTTCCACGAGTCGTTCCTCTGTTCACTTGACGGCCCGTCGTCGCTGTCACGTTGTTGTTGTTGTTGTTGTTATTGTTGTTGTTATTACTGTTACCCGTATTGTAGTCGTAGACGCCGCTGCGATGATACGTACTTGACGGTGAATCCTCTTGAGCTTCACACTCGGTTTCATGCTCCCCACGGACCTTGGCCTTCAGCAGACGTCTAGTGAGCACCGTCCGTTTGCTCCAGAACATGAACATGAAACAAGATTTGCGGTACGCGCATTTGGTGGCCAGTCCTTTTCGTAGCCGCCGTAGAAAAACAAAAGGTGAGACGAGACGCAGGAGGGCGGTTTGACCGGGCCACGCGCACGTACGCACGCGATCGACGAAAACGGCGCGCGCGCGCGGATGTCGCGTTCGCGAAATTGTCCTCTTCTTCTTCGTGATCGTCGTTTTTCTCCTGTTTGTCCTTCCGTTTCTGCCGACAAAACACCAAATACGCACTGTGTCAACTCCAAAAACAACACTTGGTCCGTGCACACGCGAGTAAATCACAGAAGGAGCACACACACACACACAACACAGTCGCGCGCGCTCGCTCTCCTTCGTACGAGCGTGTATATTTACTTTATTCCCGCACGCGCTCGCGCGCGCGCGCACTTTGGATCACGGTCCCGAAATAGTATGACAGTCCAATGCGCGGCACACACAGCGACGAGTTCTCGCGTATTCCACGAGATTTCTCTCTTTTTTAAACTATTGTGTACCGTCGAAAATTCTGTGTGTCGATCGTGGGAAAACGTGTAGTAAATAAATACTTTATTCTTTCTTTCTCTCCCGCGCGCGGATTTACTTCTTTGCTGTCCCTCCCGTTCGGCCGGCTTTTTTTGCGCCGAGTAGCAATGTGCGCGCGTTTCCCCAATGATATTTCCGACTTACAACTAGCGGCGAGAACGGTCCACCTTCCTCTCCGGATGAGTTTTTTGGCCGCGTGAACGAGCTCTCGGATTTCCGACGCACCACCACCGGCTGACCTTGAACTCTCATTTACCTCACGTCGTTTCGGAGCCGTTCTCCTCTTCCTTCTCCTTCGGAGCCGAGACTCGGGTTATAAATAGCGTTCCCTTGATTTTGTCTTTTTTTTTTTTCTTTCCTCTTTCCCGTCGAGAAATGGTCGGTTCTCCGCGTTCTTCTTCTTCCTCTTCTTTGCGACTACTGTTTATTATCGTCGACGAACTCGTCTCGCGGGCGAACAATCCGCACGACGGCTGTGAATGTGAGCCACTGTCGGCATCGCGAACAGGCGACTCGCGGACGCCAGTCGACGCGCGACGTCGTCGGTCGCGCGTGGACGACGCGACAACGACGATCAACGTTACAATACAAACCACGCGCGCGACCCGCAGAGAGGACGGACGGACGGACGGACGACGGATGCACGCACGCACACAAACAAACGGTCACCGTCAAAGTTACCGTCGCACTGCTACTGCTATATCGCTTCTGTACACTTCTTATCCGTTACACTGGTAAGAGTGAGAGGAGAAAGAAGAGACTTCGGGTGAAGAGCAGCAGAGAGGGGGGGTGGTAGAGGGGGGGAGGGGTAGGCACGAAACGAATCGGTCGGCGCACGCACGACACCCGGCCTTTACTTTCCTCGGTCGTCGCGTATCGAGGGCGACGCGGTGCCTTAACCTCGCGACCCGGCACACCGACAAGCAGCGGCACACGCACACACACAAAGACGGATTACGTGTGTACGTGCTCGCGCGCGGACGTAATATACGATGCGACGGGCGTGTATATACACACCGGCGACGTCGCGTCACAAAAATCTTCCCGCGGCGCCGCCGCTGATCCTTTTCAGGAGGTGAGACACGTCGCGACTCTCGTCGCAAGCTGCTGATACGGCGCCGATGACAACAGACACAACGACAACGAAGACAATGTTGCCGCTGTCGAATAGCAGCGATAATAGTAGTCCGATTTCGATGATGCTCGCGGCAGAAGAACGCGATAACGTTGTTGCTCCCGTTCCCGATGATCCGGCGCTCGTGCCGTCGCCAATGCCGGCACCACCGCGCCGGCGGCACCGCGTGACGACGATGACGACGACGACGACGACAACGACGGCGACCGCTGCCACCACCACCACCACCACCACCGCCGCCGCGGCGACACACTAATAACCTCAGACTCGCGATCGTCGCTCCGTCGATCACTCCCCGTCATTCGTACGCGCGTATCACCGAGTGACATTTTCCGCTCGCATCGTCTGTCCTTCACTTCCTTTCCTCCCTTCTATCTTCGCTTTCGACGCTTTACGTTTTTTTCACTTAGCAATGTGTTTTGCTTTCTCTCACCGTGACGCGACAACACCGCAACAATGATGATCTCCGGCACCCATCGCTCGCCGGCCGCTACTGTTGCTTCTTCTCGTCTCGCTCGCCGCGCGAACCCGTCTTTCCTTCCTTCCGTACGCCCGTACGTTCGTTCGGACCGACCGACCGACCGATCGCGAGGACGCGCACTGTCACATTCTTGAAATCGCTGGCTCCCGCGGGATGGAGCGAGCGCGAGCAACACACAGGGGCGGTGCTCCAGCAGCGAGGTGCTAAAGTGCGAGCGAGCGAGCACGATCGGACGAACGAGCAGGGGTGAGGGAACGACACAGAGAGTGGGGAAGACCGGCGCACACGTACGCGACCGGGATACGGACGTCGTACGTACATGCAATAACGTCGGAGGGCGAGAGAGGTCGAACGTGCGCCGAGAATGAGCGACACTTTTCTCTCTTTCGCTCTCTACGCGGTGGTTTTACCGGGAGCACCGTCTATAAGTGTCTCAAATACCAAACAAGAGATTGTTGTTTGTTTCTGCCAATGTTTCTTCGCTTTTCCAACCACTATTCACGGTAAGGTAAACGATTTTCTTCCCTCTATCCGTTTTGCCTCCTTCCGCTTTCCATCGCTCGCGCGATGAATATCAACGGGGTCTCGTCGTCGGTGAATGGAACGAACTGTTGCGCGCGAGATACGACAGATCACGGCGCAACTCCGACTCGTTTATGCTCGGCAACGCGACTGGAACCGCACGAGGTTCCTCCGTCACGAGTACGCGCACCGATGTTTCCACCACTACCGCTAGTCGTCGACCCTCTTCTCTCTCGGCCCCGGTCGCGCCTCGAAACTCCGTCCCCTTCTTCGCCTCTCACCGCCGCGACGACTCGTCCCCTTCCGTCCCGTGAACGACGGCGGGCCGATACACCGACCGGAGCATACTAAACACACAAGAGAGAAAGATTGTCAAACATGGCCAGCGGTGGCGCTACGATCGTCAAGTAGCGGCGCTGTGAGAGAGATACTCCGGCGTGCCGCGCTTCTTTGGCGCGGCGCCTCGCGGAAATCGAGGCACGTAGGCCGCGAAGAATTCCGCAAAGCGCGACTCGAATTCGAAGCAAAACTTTTACGGCGTTATGCAAATGCGTGAATCATGCGTGATGTCACGATTAAATGACCGGGAGAGGAACGGAGAGGAAGAGATTTTTTTTTAAGCGTATATGCTAAGGTAAGGTTTGCTCACACAATTGTTTATTTATCTAATCTCGTGAAAATAAAACGTTGCATCGCGCATATACTTTGGAACGTAGATAGATTACGTCGGTGTTTAACATGTGTAAAAACATACGACGTGAATAAAATGTGTTTCAAATATAGAAACGAGTAAGTGGTCTTGGTACGACGATAATGTAAGCAAATAGGGGAAGAGACAGAAATGGCTGGGCCTATCGGTCGCCAGGGCAGACTGACGCCAGTGTTTCCGTTGATGTCTCTTCAGTGCCAATCGACGTGCTGTACCTCCGTCATGGAAGTCGACATTCCAGGACGAATTTCAGTCACGATATCGCCCGTAAAAGAGAGAAGTACCCCACCCATCGGTTCATCCGCCAACGAACGACAAAGAAACGCCGACGAAGGACACATGGCACTAATACGTCGAATGACAAAGCGAACGACAGGAAGGCGCCACACCGTGACAAAATCCATTTCTTTGGAAAACGCTGCGACATTGTTCACAGGCACGATCAATGTACAGTGGTTAATGTTTTTTAAAATCCTCGCATTAGCTAATTGTTTTGAAAAAAACAATTTGTTTGAGAAAACAACATCTTCAATTCGTGTGTCCGATACTTATAATCTCTTTTTCTTAAACGTTTTAAAATGATGTTGGTCAAACTATCAATTTTAGATTTAGACAAATTGTTTTTGATACTTACCAATTTTTTGAAAGATCGCACCAGCAGTTTTACTCGTTGAAATACATATTTGTGATCTGCAACAAAAGTATGTTGTGCGCTTATTGTTAGATGTTTAATTTTGAACAATTTTATTTAAACAAAAGAGACGTAATTAGTAATTTGATTTTAGAAAATAATGTGATTGTCTGAGAGCGCGAAACTCTTGGAAAAAATGTTGGCTCCGAAAATTGCGTGGTTTTCTGGCTGTCGACTTAAATCGGACGGTGCCTTGCGTTGCATCGGCCGTCTAAATCGCGCGTAAATCGTGCAATTTATGTTATCCAAAAGAGAAATGCCGCGCGGCGTTTAATTTGGATCGCAGGTATACACACGGAGAGACGAGTGGCCGAGTCTCGGTCGGCCTAAAATGCTAAAAAAGGATTGCGAATGGCATACCATCGCGCGGGACCGAAAGGATCGTCGCTCATAAATTTTCTAATTTTAGAAACCCCGTTCACAGAAAGCGCGCGGAGAACGATTCCGCGGACATAATTTTGTAATAGGCCGCATAACTTCGTCCAGCGAGTTTATGGTTACGGGAGCCTATAATTTCGATTTTCTATAATCAAAACGCCCCTTCGTAATATCGCCGGAGCGCGCTTTTGTGTCGAAAAGCATCTCGTCGCATATTCCCTTTGTGTGTCTCAATATGTCCACACGTGATCGTTAAGTGACGTTTTTGTTTCTTTTTAATATTTTCAAATAAAGATTTCTCGTCGAAACGTGCGACATTCAAGTGGAGACGAAATTCGCGAGAAGTTTGCGCTTTACGACAAGTAAAGTAGCAAAAAACAAAATCGTCTCTTGTGATATTTTTCCACTCCACAACTCGTTTCGTCATCAACTTCGTTAAAATAGCGAGAATGGCGCCGTTAGATATTTACATAATTACACATAATTCGCGCGTCGAGCAAGATATCTTGAAAATTAAGTGAATATTTAAAGCTCGCGGATGCCACCGCGGCGTAACCGTAGAATTAATTACGTCTAGCGAGAAGCTAAAACGTAAAGTGATCCGTTCGAGACAGAAAACGTGTGATATCCCTCTCGAGCGCGATCGAGTCGATAAATCGACAAATCGAAGCAAATTGTGTGCTTCTTTTACAATTTTTTATTGAAACGCGTGAAAAAAATCGCCAACTTTAACAACGGCGACAAAACTCGCAGTTGTCAGACCTTTCAATGAGATCTTTCCATTAATCCTCTCTCGCGTCTTATCTCGCGACGAGTCGCGACAAAGGTCTAGACACGTTATTTTACTCGTCGGAACACATCGAAATGATATAGAATTTAGGAAGTTATTTTGTTATGTACGTCTGGCGTCCTGCGCTGGCTAGTAATCAGACGCCTGGCCTCCGCGAACGGTCCCTCTCTCTCTCTCTCTTCTCTTTTCTTCCCGCCCTTACCTCTTTCCTCGCTCCACGACCCCCGCGTTCCATCGCTCTCATTCCTCAGCCCGGAGTCGCTCTCGCCGTCTCGTCCGGCCTGTAAAACTCTCTCGGTAAATTCTTCAGGGCCATCCGCGTTTCTCGGTGCCTCTATGTCTCGGTCCAATTAAATGTCGATCAAGGCGGCCCCTAGCTCAAGGTATACAAGCGTTCGAAACAAAAAGAGTTTGCACATTGCAAAAAAAAAAGAGGGAAAAGAATGAAAGAGGGGAACAGAATAGAGTGTCCGTATATCCGCGACGAGATGTGCACGAATTATTCCCGACTCGAGAATACAAGGCGTCTTTCAGTACATCGTGTTTGCTCTGGGGCGAATAGATTTTGCGAGAATATAAGAAAATCGAGTAAAGAGAGAGATTCTTCCCAAATAGACATTATTATTTTTGAATAATCATCCAATTGTCTCGTTTATGCGTTCTTTTATCCTGCAGAAGAATTTTAATTATCGAAATAGAATTGAAAGAAAAATAAAATCTTCAGTAAAAACTCTTCAATTGTTCGTTTTTACACGTCGAAATCCTCGCAACGCTAATTTAATATTACTTTTGCCATCTGATATTAATTTGGCATTAAATATGTGTGTTTATTCTACGGTATGATAATTCCTGGATGGGGGCGAGATGTCGCGAGTAATCGCACATATACTGCGTGAGCTGTTGTAAGATTTAAGCCGCGGCAGCAAACGCGCGATGCGAAACAGCCTAGGATCGCGCGCGAGATCGTACTTTTATTTCCCCCGTTCTATTTCCAAACGCGAAAATTACTCGCATGCCCGCCGCCACTTCGCGGGGCCCTGGCGCCATTCTTGACACATCACACCGATGGCACCGACGTACGTAATGCCATGCGAGAGAGAAAAGAGCGAAAAACAAATATTGATACATGTGTGTGTATAAAATTGTTACTGATATAGAGAAACAATTCTTCCTTTGTGCGAGAGAAGATCATGAAGAAACTGAAATTTTAATTTTGTCAATTTGTAAATTTTTTTAATAGGCGCACAATTTATTAATAATTATGTACTATCTATATATACGCACATGTGTGTGAGTTATTGTATGATTTATGATCTGTCATTAGTTGCGACGTATTCGATCACGTTCGTTACAATTATCAAGATTTATATTCTCGAGTGTGACTGCGTTCACGGATTAATGGTGTGATGTGATGTAAAGTTTTCACGTGGGACGTTTCTTGAAATGGACATCGCCGCCGGAGACGTCCGCGTAAGCACCGGCGCCCCGCTTAGAACAATACAGCGCGACGACGTAGGAATGTCAGACTCGAGGTAAATAGAATGCGACAAGAGCCGTTTCAGTCGAAAGGTCGCGATGTCACCTTTCGTTTCGACGAATATTAACCGCGCAACGCTCTCGTGCACTTCGTTACACACGGCGGCCGCGCGCAACCTCCCCTCTTGTCACTTCGTCGAAGAGAATTATTAATGAACGTCCCGGCGAACTGACTTCCGCCAATTACCGCTGGTAAGTGACGTGCTTTTCCATTCGACAAGATTAACACTCGTTATTCGTTCACCGAGTGCGAGGAATGACAGCAACTTGAAATTCCGCGTATCGCGCCGATTAATCGCGTTTCTTTTCTCGCAAACTTCGGGAAATAATGACCGGAGAGGAAATAGCGGCGCGAGATATGAATTACATTTGCGACACACACGCGCAATTACCGCAAAATTCAACACAACGTGTGAATTGCTGTAATGAACGGCTAATTTAGATTCTAATAAAGGATCGCGCAAAAGGTGTGCGAAAAACGCGCGAAATGAATCTTCCCGGGCGCTTCTCCGAGAATACCCGGCGCCGCTCGTCGAGACACAGAGGAATATGATTGACGACGCGCTGACGTTGTCACGCCGCGCACAAACGAGGGAGCGGCCTCTCTTCTGCGTGGAAAACATTTTTGCGCCTCCATCTATGCGACATAGAATGCGATACCGATCCAAAAAGTAAAAGAAAAAATTCAAATTTTTTCTGCAATTTTCAATTTATCTGAATGTTATTTTACTTGATTATTAGAATTTTTTGCGCAGTAACGCGCGTCTTACACGCACCGTCTATTCCCTCTCTCTTCCTAAATTTGCAAGTTTTTGCTAAAATAATTAAGGACGAAAAAAATGCCTCCGTTGTTTATTTACAGGCTTTGTGTTTTGCGTCGTTCTTTTATCTTGCGTACAATCAAAAAGCGATATTTCATGTTGATTTTACTTGACCGAAAGCGCGCGGATTGGCCCGATTCGAGTGTCTTCAAACTCTGCGGAGGCACACCGTCGGCGCCGATGTCAACGTTCCAAATTCCGAGGGAGAGCGATCGTCGTCGTTCTTCGAAGCGGCGGCAGTGAGTGCGAGAGCTCGTCCGGCTCGACGATTCCGCTATAATTCATCTTCCGCGAAGCGCGGGGACGTTTCGGGCTATTTTTGGGAACCGGGCGCGGAGAATCTTTTTCAGTAACTCCCCGATGGACCGAGACGACGACGACGTGTTGGAACGCATGTCGGGGATGACCAATCATTCGGGGGCTTCTAGTTGTTTATCACGATGCCGTTGCTCGTCCGCGCGCGTATCTGCGTAGAATCGCGCGAGAACATACGAGGACGTCGCGGAAAACTTGGACGAGCCCGTGTGTGTAAGGCGTATTATTTCACGCCGCGCCGCATTGGCGGCGGAGATAAACGTTTAGAGAAAAACGACTGATAAACATACACACACACACACACACACAGAGAGAGAGAGATTTTCTCTTTGAAAATATATAAAAAAAACACACGTGGCGCCAACTAATGAAAATTACGACTTCGCGACGGTAATCAATCTTATGTCAATTATATTATAACGAGTTTCATATTGGAATTATATTTGCAAATGCGAAAGAGACCAATCAGCAAAAAAATTATGCCATTATATGACTCTGCGATCTGCAAGAAGAAGAAGAAAACATATTCGCGAGGCGCCGTTGTTATTGCGCACATTGTGCGTCCGTTAACACCATTATATGCACCTGTCAGTCGGACGATGGTCTCTTTGCCTGTTATGGAAATTCGGCTGGCATTAACGACGTCCGTATTTGCAAATGGAAAAACCCGGTCGGGGTCTCGCCATCTCCGGCGCGGCGCGGCGTGGCGCGACACGACACGGCACGTTGCACACACTCGACGGACTCGGGTGCGTAATCGTCTGCATCGCTGGCGCCGTATGTCCCTACTTAACTCCTCACGGATTTAAATATATTCGATCAACTGGTCGCGCATACGATTAACGATTGTTTCGTTAAAAAACCGAGAGACACGCAGGCGTGTAACGCGAGGCGCGGAAACGCACCACCGGCTCCGTGTGCTACGCACACACGAGCTCGCATCCGAGATATTTCTGCTAGTGGTTGCCACGAGGAAATACGCGCGTTTAACTCGCGAGTAAAGTGTAACTCGAGTTAATCTGAGCGGAGAGAAAGAGAGAGAGCGTGCGCGGAGAAGGTAGAAACGTGAGATATGATATAAAAGTAAGTATATCGAGATCGCGCAAGTATTTTTTTCGAAAACTAAACTTTGTTTTACACACCATCGTGTAATCGTAAATAAATACAATCTGGATTATTATACAAATACCGTTATTTCATGTACGCCAACATTTTATTTGAATCGACGGATCGCGTTATTCGTGACGAGCAGGCAGTTTTACCTAAAACTGAACGGATACGCGCTCGATCGCGGATGTTTTTTTTTTCCTCACGCCGGATGCTGCCGACCGGAAGTCTCTACTTTTGACGCAAAAACCGCCGGATTGGGACGACCGTCTGGCGGAACACCTGCGATGTCGTTGGTCGGCGGGCGGTGGGCGCGAGAGCGTGGCGACGGCCCTGCGAACAAACACGACGACCAGGGAGACGCGAGGCGGAGCGACGGCGGAGGTATGACGGGACAGGTGCGGCTCGTAACTTCCTGGATGATATCGGCCGGTCCGGACGCGCGCACGACCGGCGCTAACGCTGACGCTTACGTTAGCGCTGGCGCCAATCGTATCCGCGCCGTAGGCGCCTGTCCGTCCCGACCGTCTGCCCCCTTCACCGCCACGGCACTACTCTTCGTGCGCGGCCCATCTTGCTTGTCCCCCTTTACGTCCTCGCCTTGCTTCTTCCGCTCTTTACCCCGCGCCGCGACATCAGCATCACGTACCTCTTTGGCCCGCCATAACCCGCTCGCAACGAAGAAAGAAGGCCCTCCCCGAGTTCTCCTCTCCTTCGGCGCTTCGCGGCCGAAGCGTCGCGAGAAGCCGCCAGGCGAAAACGCGGCGGCTACCTTTTATTCATTGCGCCAAAGCCGCCGGCCGGAAAGACACACACGGGGAAGGAAAGAAAGAAAGAGAGAGGGAGAAAATGAAACGAAAGAAGAAAAGAACGCAGTTTGAGCTTGCACCGTCGAGGTACGTGCATACGAAATTATGCCGCGGCGAGTCTAATCTCCCGGAGCCGCTCGATCGGCGATTTTCATGTCGACGAGGCACGACAAGGCGCATCGGTATAAGGTCGCGTTGATGCATATAAACGCGGAGACGGAGAAAAATATCGTCGACGAGAAAAAGTCGAGGAGGATAAAACGATTGACTCCCGAGAGAAGTCACGTTCGCGCGCGCGACTAATCTGCTCAATTTGTGTATACGTTATGTCGTGCGATAAGAACGCGATATTTCGAGGTCGCTCGCTTGCGCGATTCTTTGAATTTCGGATAAATTTTTCATTTTACTCTGTATAAGCTATTTTTTTTCTTTGCGTTTCTTTTTGTTGAAAACAGTGTGATGAGCACATAATGCTCACGCGATCGCGCGCTGTGAAATATTACATTATTACTCACGACAATGAATCAAATAAAAAGAGATGAGATGTGTGTTGTATGTACATATGCGCGCCGCTGATTGCGGGAAGAGTCGCGATACGTGCGTTTAAATCTGCACACGCTCAGTCTAAATGCAGCGTAGATAATAGGGGAAAAATTGATTCTTCCGCGAGACGGCGATATTTACAAGTCGAGTTGCGGCATTGCTATATTTACACCTGTGTGCCACTCAATATGCCTTTTCAATTAACGGAAACTATGCAGGTAACGATTACATCGCTCTGCCTTCGAGACGCATTCCGCAATCGCGGCCTGACGCAATCGTACACGATACCGAACAGATTTAAGATCCGATATATTGTTGAAGCTACGCTAATTTATTCGGCGCCTATTTATTACGTAAGGAGAGAGAGAGAGAAAAAAGATAGAGAGAAAGATGTGCTTGGCATAATTAGCGCCTTCCACAAATGCGGTAAATATTTATTTCTTTTTATATTAGCGCGAGCTAAATTCCTCACATCTTATACATCTCGCGCGCTTAAAGCTAAAACCTATTCCGGAATGATCATCGGCGCTCTCTCATTTGCGTATCACTTTTCGTTTATATTATTCATTATCGCACGCTTGCGCATATATATATATATATCCTTGGATTTTAATCTTAAGATATAAATTAAGACACTTTTCTCCTTTCCACGATCCGTCAACAACAAACCTCGTCTCAGAAAATTGTTCTTCTTCGGTTCGTCCTCGCGCGCGTTCGGAGTATTTTCGCAACCGAATATCACTGAACTCACTGTAGTCTCTTACCTGTTGCAAACTTTCCGCTATTGGTTGAGACACTGCGCACGTGCTACCGGCGTAGCAAAACGCCGCCGATTATGAAAATCCCATCGCCGGAAGAGCGTCGCGCGTAAAATGCGCCGCAGAATTTTATTACGCGTGCTTCTTTAGAGTCCGTCGAGATTTAACGAGCCACATATATATCTGAAACACATGTCGACGTTTCCTACATTGAATGAGAGCGAATTATCCTATAAGTTGCGTGTAAAAAGAGAGGAAACCTTGTAGCACAATTTATAACTCGGATAATAAGAGAGACAGAAACAAATTATTATTATTTTTTTTTTTACATAACCGGTTCTCCAAGACATCAATTTCTTAATTCTATGCAAATGCTCTTGTGTCATTATTTTTGCCGATAAAAAGTAAATTGAAAGTGTTTTTCTAAAAATAGAATTATATCGTGAATAAAAACAAATCCCGTACGTCACTAATTGCAAGATAAAATCTAAAAATTTCAAATTCGGATTTTGATAATGTTATTCGGAAGTGTGGAATTTTATTAATGAAACCTTATTCTTCGCGGTTTAACGCGGTTGCTTCTTCAGTTCGAGCCTTCGGTTATCTCGCAACAAAGGGATGGTAATTCGCTTGCGCGACAAGAGGCGCGGGAAGACGCCTCGCGGAATATTCGGAAGACAACGACGGAGTTTCGCACACAATTGGCGATTCTCACGCGACAAACACACGACTCGACTCTCCGGTTGTCGAGCGTCGACTGGTCGCGATGCCGCGCGATCGTCGCGCAATATGTAGCGCGTGTATGTGCACACCAGCGTACGCGCGCTGTGCAACGTGCGGACGACTGGAGCCGCTCGCGGTCTTTCTGCTCGCCCCTTGCTTGCCTCGCGACCGTCGCCATCGCCATCGTCGTCGTCTTCGTCTTCGTCGTCGTCGTCGTCGTCGTCGTCGTCGTCGTCGTCGTCGTGGTCGACGTCGACGTCTACTCGCTTAAAGGGCTGCCGGGTGCGGAGTGGCGCGACGCGATGCGGCGCGAATCCACGGCGACACGGAGCGGCGGCGCGCCAGTAACGTGGCGACGCGGCTCCTGACGCCGATTCGGCGGACATGTACGCGCGCTTCGTCGCCGATAATACACACGTACGTATGAACAACGACGACGACGACGACCACGACGACGACGACGACGACGACGACGACGACAACGATGACGACGACGACGACAACAACAACGATGTCGCCGTCGCGTACAATGTGCGCGCGACGCCCGGCATCGCGGCGGTGGTGTAGCGGACACGAGGCGGCGGGGTTGTTCTGGCGCGCGCGTGCATAGCCAACGAGAACGCCCGAGACTGCTGGTACACACCAGGGTGCTTGACCGAGTCAAACCAAACGACCGACGACGACAACGACGACTTCGATATATACGGTTTCAGGCGGATCTTCTTGCTCCCGGCGGCGCGGCGGATAAACAATGTCATTTGCAACGACGTGACGACGACGACGACGACGGCGCGTTCCTTCGCCGCCGCTATGCTAGTCGAAGAGAGAACCAACAGCGATTCCCGTGATTTATAGTCAATACATTCCAATCAGAGAAGAGTCTGGTCAATTATATAATAGCTATTTATATTCTTCCTTTCTTTCTTTCTCTCAAACGCACGCATTTAAAAGTCTATGTCCTTCTGTTATTCTTGAAATAACAGATTTATCCTTTATGAAATTATATCGACTTTTCTCTCCTATTTCATTTAGCTCTTTGCTTTATTAAATTGAGAACGACTGTTTTCAAAAATCTACTTTTATTATTGCACAACGCGTGGCGCCGCTTTTTTCTGTTTTCTCCGCCCGCCGCGGTCGTGCACGGATCACTGCGCGATTCGATTCGAGTAACATTAGGGATCGATTTCCCCCTTCCTCCTCCCGATTCGATTCGTGTGCGCTCTCTCGAAGCGAACGGGGTACTTTACGACGCGCGAATTAAACGCGAGCACCGCGTTCTCGCGCGCGATTTCCTGTGCCTTAATAGCGGGAAGCGAGTAAACACACCGGGGTACCATTCTCTCGTTTTCGTCGCGCGTTACTCGCCCGCAAAGCTGAGCTCTATTTCCGTCAAGTATATACACGCGCGCTCGCACCCACTTCCTCCCTCTTCCCGCGGTCTCTCGCGCGCGGTAAGTTTGTAAGAAAGGAACGCGGATAACGAAGAGAACGAGGTGAAACGTTCCGCAAACGATCATTATCCGTTTCTTACCTTCTCGCCTCGCGAGTGAATTTCTTGCGCACAAAGAAATCCGAGACAAACGCTCTTATACGAAAACAGCCATTTATTCCGAGATGTCGGAGAACGTAATTAATGATAATTTCCAGCATTTGCGATAAAGTGAGAATGCGTGTTCGCGCTAGGCGCGGAAAGTAAATTACAGATTTTTTTTCTCAAGAAGATTAACCGTGCGGTGTATCGTTTAGTAAAATTTATTGTTTTTTTTTTATTTTTTTATTTTTGTTTTACGTATCCGAAATATTCGCACACGCAACGTTGAATGTTCAGATGTCACAACGGAGATACGTTATTAAAAAAAAAAAAAAAAGAACAATCCCAATTGTATTCTTATAAACCGTCACAATGAGCTGTCAATGAAAATTTGCAATCGTCTATTTATATCGTTCGGAAACCGCGGCACCTCGGCACCACAGCTAACGACAGTCGTCTCTCTCCGCTCCGATAGTCAGGACAACAAGTTAGAAAAACGGAATGACGCCGTAGTGTCAGGACATCAATTCTTTCGTAATGACACGGGCGCAGCCAGTCGGTCGGACGTCCATTCGCGTCCGCGGCGAGCCGGAAGGGGGAGAGACGGGGAGGGAAAGAAGCGGTGATGATCCGGGTCCGTCCGGCACCGGGGCTCCGGTTCTCCGTCCCGTTGTTTATCAAGTTCCCCTTCGCATAACAAGCATCAAAACACTTGGCGCCCCACGCTGGAGCCGTCGTAGTCGTCGCCCGCCCCCTCTTCGGGTGCCAGAGCCGCGTCTACTACTTTTCCGCGAATGTTGCCGGGGATAGGCGCTCTCTGGCACGGGGTTAAAACGACGGGTACACTCCCGCCTCCGGCGGGGAAGGGGTTCGTTTCTCTTTCTCGTTCTATCTAGACCAGGCGCCGCGTCTATACACCGCCGCCCCCGAAAAAAATGAATTATCGTTCTGGATCTAGGAGCGCGCGGTGATTGCGATCACCGGGATTTCCCCAGTTTCCCGTTGTAAACTACGTGCGATCAGCAGGGAATTATAGGGTTGCGACGTTTGGTGGGAATTAAACGGTGCCATAGACATTTTCTTGTCTCTCTTCGCGGGGAAAACATGTCTATGCAACAATAAAGTGACTGCGACATCGCGGTCGATGCGCCGTGAGTAATGTAAATAAATTTTTGTATCTTTTTAAAACGTTATATATATATATATATAATTTTATTTCACAATATTTTATTTGAGTAAAAACATGTTAGAATCTTTTATTAAAAGAACAACATCGAGCTGACCAATCGTAAAGTTTTCCGATTTATGGCCAGGTCCGAGTCGCGTAACACAAGACCGGGAAAAATAAAAAGAAAAATAAAAAGAAACAACTTCCGTTAATTTGCGACTGATCGTCCCCTCCGACGAAATAACATCGCCGTGCTATTTCTTCTATTACACCCTCGTACAAAACCGGCGATGACGCTATTGACGCGTCTAGGAATCGGGGATTTCGGATGACAATATCCGAGAGGGGGATGAGCGTGGAGTGCATCGTGGGAGATAGAGAAAGGGAGAAGTGAGGACGAGGCGTTCGTCCCCCCGGGTTGGCGTCCGACTAGCAACGGCGTCTTCTCACCCCCCGTGCGTCGTGGCGGGTGCCAGAAGAAGTATTCTCGCATTGCTCGTCGTCGTCGTCGACATCACCGTCGTCGTCGTCTTCGTCGCCGTCGGTACGCCCGGTGGCGACGTCGGCGACGCCGCTCCACGCTTGGCGTCGAGGAGGTTAGCGCCGGCCGGTCGCTCCGAATCGGCGCCTGGCTGTCTCTTTCTCTCTGTCCCTTTCTCGCTCGGTTTCGTCTGTCTGCAGCCGGGAGAGAGCAGCCGTCGTCGTTTCATCGTCGTCGTCGTCGTCGTTCGTTCGACGGCGACGACGTGGCTCTGCCAGCCGGCTGTCGCCGTCGCCATCCGCACGACCCCAACCCTCTTCGTTCTTTGGGTTCCGGCGCCCTCTGCTCTTTCCCCGCTCTCTCTGTGCACAAAGCGATCTGCTTCGCGGCGCGGATGTGTTTAGGTAAATGATGAAACGACTGTCAAAAGATCGCTCTCGCGAATTAATATCAATCGCGTCGATCGTCGTATCGGCAAGCGTTGTTCGCAGGCTCGCTCGTTGAAGGATTGAAACTGCACCGAGATCGCATGAAGCGTGACTAATCAGAGCAACGGGGACACATGTTTTCTCGTAATTTCTCAATCTTTAATGGACATAAGCCTCTTACGCAAAGTTCGGCGTTCGCGACGATTGCAGTTAGCGGAGCGTTGAAATTACCGCGTTGCCGCGCGGTGTTGTGCACGCATGTTTCTCAGCAATCTGACCATTTGTCAATCTACAAATCATTACGAGTCCGAACGCACACATTGATGCGTGTTACACGTATGACGTATCGTCATTTATATCTCGCTAAGCGGTTAAAATTGTTTGCTATTATTATTTTTACACCGCGCGGAGATAGAACGCGTTTTTCCATAACACACAAGTTAAATATACAAATTAATAATCGTTCTTGTCTCATTATCTAAACGTTTCCGGAGATAAAACTGTAACGTTTTAAACAAATGAGCCTGTCGAGATTACGTCCTCAAGCAAGTTGTGCAACATTTCGACTGAAGATCAATGTGATTTTTTGTAATTGTAATATACATATATATATATATTGATTCTTTTGTTCTGCCTTCCTGTGCATGTGCTGTTTTTTCTCCGCTGAAGGAGTGGAATTGACCGCAGAGCGCGCCGCGTCGTCGGAGAGCCCGCGGGGAAATTCCACGGCCCCATCGTTATAACAAACAAGGCATCAATCCGGTAACTGACGCTGCGGCGCGCGCGCGCGCCGCCGCCGCAACTCGTTCGCGTAATTAGATCACGATCCTGCGGCGCGTAACAGAAAACCGAACGTGGATCATTTCGTAGCTGAGGGCCAGCCGGATAATGGGACTCGGACGTGATTCGAGAGCCGGCGAATGGTTCGTCCCGATTGCCGTTCGTTCGTTTGATCGTCTCTCTCTCTATCTCTCTCTCTTGCGCCATCATCGCGGCGCGGAATCGGCGGCCCTTCGAAACTATCGGAGCTGTGTTTTATGAAGGCAGCCCTTCCCGGCGCCGCTGCTGGCGACGCGCACACATTTCCTTTTCCCCGATATCTCTCTTTCTCTTTTCTTCCTCTCGTCTTCCTCCTGATATACCGGCCCCGACGTGGCGTCCCTTAACCCAAACCATTATCTGTATACCGCGCGATTATAGGGCAACGGGACCGACAAACAGGCGTGGGCTAAGCCCATAGGCGCCACAAAGAAGGGACGCTGTATTAATTCCTCCGTTAGTTAACTGCGTGTGTTTATTTCTTTCAACAAATATAAGCTGGAGATATAACAGCTGATAACAATGTGTAAGTGTATATTACTCTACACACATATATATATAAAATTTCAAAAGAATGTCACATCTAATAAAAACCATTGAATTGTCACGGAATTAAATTGAACTAAAATCTATATATAATCGAGAAGTTATATCAAAGACATTACATCAGTCATGTATCTTACATTATGGAGATACATAACGATAAGTTTTGATATAAAATCTTTCAAGTTATCTCTTTCTTTCTTTCTCTCTCTCTCGGATGTTTTCGAACGGAGACGCGCGTCTCTTCCTTTTTGAAAAGATTACTTGGCGCCTATGCGGAGAGCACCCCCGGCGCAGCCGATCTCCGCCCTGCGTGCACATACGATCCTCAACTACGCAAACAAACTCCGTGCACACTCGTACGTGCACCAGCGCTCCGCTCTTTCTGCTTTGCTCTGCTGTCTCCCCGTGTCGTCTCGAACGTTTCGGCTCTCGTCGTCGTTCGCAAAACCGCCTCCGGCATAGCCTGCGCGTTCCGATTGCCGACTATCCTCAAAATATCAAAAATCTTAAGGCCATTGTCTGATCGTTTTGTTTTTGGTCCGTTATCTTGAATTTCCGCTTATTTCGTTATCTGCTGCACGCGTACGTTCTTCTTTTATATCTTTATGTTTATATTTAGACGGAAAATTAACGCGATAATATAAAAGAATTAAGAACTGTTGAGAAATTCTATAAATACGGATGTGATTTATTTATTCTTATCTCTCGATATTAAAAACTAAATATTTATCGCGAATTATATTGGTGACTAAATTTTTAATTAATCTCCATCCAATCTAATCTATATATATGTAATTAATATTTACGAGTATACGTACAAATTCATTTTTGACGCAGTTTTTTTCTCAAGAAAAGACTATAGTTTCGAATTCATCGGGAGAAGAGAGAGAGAGAGTGTCGAAGAGAATAACATCTGCTTCCGAATCTCCGCGTTTATTTTCGTGACACCTTGTGTTACCCGTTCAAGACCGCGGAAGAAGCTCCTCTGATAACGGCAATTGCAAGCCGCGACGTCGTTGCAGCAGGTGCGGACGCGCAGGTGATACACACACCACTCACTCGTTTGTGGGATAAGCCGCCGATAAGGAAGCTCGCGCTACGCGACGATGTCTTATCCTCTCCTTTTACCTGGTCAATATATACGTTACCTTTCTCCGCACTTACCTCAAGCTGATCTCTCGTTCTTTGATATCATATCAACACCGCTATATACCACGCGGTGTGGTTTGTTCGTTCTCTTGGTCGTGCCACGCCAACAATTTCTAGTCAGATCCGGGCGAGAGCGCGTTATGTAAACCCTAGAGCAATAGCGCTCGCGGCCGGGAAAGACGCCTCGTTGGTAAAAACGATAACATTACTTCTGGCAAGTCATGTTGTTTGTTGTAACCGCGTCCCGCGCGAAACAGCGCGTAACGCGTAACGTCTAAACAACGGACGTGTCTAAAGCGCTCTGCCGAGGATGTAACTACGTGGGCCTCGCACAGGCCCGCGCGTTCGTTCGTTATTTAGTCTGATTTTAGTCGCTCTAGCGTACGACGAGCGCGTCGAAACAAGTTGGTCGCGTACGTATTCCCTGCCGTCGCTCTCGCGTACGATACCATACCGTAAACATGGACGAGCAGTTGACAGCAACGTATCTTGGATTGGACCTGAGCACGCAGCAGGTAAAGACGATAGCGGTACATGTGTATATGTATATTGTATACATATATGTATGTATATATATGTACGTACACACATATGCTCGGAAATGCGTTTACGACACAAGCGCGTAAGCTGCAAAAGAACTCTGAAGCGTTTAACGCACAAAATATGTATTCGAAAAATTGATCATCTAAAAATCTCTTAGACATTACATTTGGATATTTTTATTTGAGTCTTATCTGAATTTTGTTTTGGACTTACGTGCGTGTCTGCATTTCAATCGAGCGTGCAAAATTGAACAAATAAATTCGTGTCGTAAAACTGCGAACAGTTGGCAGTAATTTTCGTGGCGCACCCGGCGCGTTACACCACGTGGAGAGAACTCGATCGATGGATGTGCAATCGCGTGACGCGACGGTTATTGACACAACAATTCGATTATCTTATTTGGACAAAATCTCCGAAACTTCACGTGATGATTTTCTGTCACAACGTTGTCGCGCTGACGTCGGCGAAATATTGCGCGCGCGTTTTTTTTTTTTTTGAAAATATAACGACGGAGATGGGGAAAGAACGCGGAAGAACAAATTTTCTTCTTTTCGTGACACAACGGACGAATAATAAAAAATTTCCAACAACAAGAATCACCGCGAGATGAGTTTTCAGGTAATTTCCATTGAATTGGTGCGGGGAACGTTCTCTCTCACGGAATATTCATAATTATATCGAACCGATGCACGCGAGACTAATCTCATTTCCTCGGATCGCACCGGAAATTGTGCTGGGAAAAAAGTAGCAAAAGCGCGGCGACTTGCAACAGCTAATTGCACGTGTGAGAAAATTTGTGTGAGCGCGCGCAATATATTTCTCTGAAATATATTTTTAATTGAAGCACACATTCTAAGAGATCTGATTTTCATTTAAATGAAATCTTCTAATTGCCGTACAATTACTGGTGTCGTCGATGATCAAAGACTTGTCAATATGTCTTGATAACACGAGAAACGATCATAAACACGACTTACGTTCGTTAGTCGAGTCTTATTATAGCTGCGACCTGTCGACGCGCGTGTGGGTGTTTACACGCTTTTCAGGGTGTGTATCAATAGATATTGCGATCGTAAGGTGTACGTACGTATATATTCTAAACGGTTCTACGCAGAAAAGACACACGAGTCGAGGCGTTGCAACGCGTTCTGACGTCTTCGGGTCACTATTATCTAATAAAGAGCGATAACACCGCGTGTGTCGACAGATACGCGCGCGGAGCGTGTTGTAAGTTATATCTGCGAGATGGCAAAAATGTTGCGGCGAGAGATAGAAATATTGAGCCGATAATTAATATCGCGGGACACGTTGACATAAAAATGCATGCATGAGAGAGGCTATCTAAATGTGTGTACACTCACTCGGTACCATGCCTCCGGCGTACAAACAACGCGGCGATTCATATAAATAGCCTGCGCATATTGGCGCACATGTTTCTCTTTATTGCATATTATTATGATATATTGTTTATCTCTATGTATCAGCTATGAAATTTTTTAAAGACACCGTTCAACTTGGCGCGGCCACGAGCTAATTAATCATTATTTCTCCAACTTAAATGTACGGATATGTTTGCGAGATAAGAAAATGGATGATCGAATATATGTATGACGTTAGAAAGATGTTATGTATGTGTGTTACGAAAAAAACGCGCGCGCGTAATATATAAGTTTATTTTAAAGAATCAAATGTGTTCAAAAATAAAACGTATAATTCTTTCGGCAACTTTGAACATATTGAGGTCGCGTTTGCGAATCTAATTTCAGTTGAAAGCTGTGGTGGTTGATGACAATCTAGCCATCCTTCACGAAACCAATGTACAATTCGACAACGATCTGCCGGAATTTAGGTGCGTTATTCGAGTGTCGTTTATAAAATTGAAACTAATTAATTTTGCGCTTTTTTGTCTCGTCACAAAATATACGCGGATAAAACGCACAAACTGTTACAGAACTTACGGTGGAGTTATACAGAAGAAAGATGAGCCGCACGTTGTGGTGGTGCCTTCTTTAATGTGGGTTAAGGCCTTAGACATGATACTCGATAAGTTACGCGTCTGCGGTGTTGACTTTGGTAAAGTGTCAGCCATTTCTGGATGCGCGCAGGTAATGCCCCAGTTATGTGGAAACAATATTTAAAATATAAAACTCGATTAGTTTAATGCGAATATATCGAGTATGTACGGAATCCTGTTTTTAATCCTTTTTTTTTTTTTTGGTACATTCTATTTTTTCCATTCTTTTGCACTTTACTTACGTTAGCAACACGGCACGGTTTACTGGGGCAAAGGCAGTCAAAGTCGACTCCGACATTTGGATCCCGCGAAATTTCTGTACGAACAGTTCGCTACGTCCTTCTCCGTGACTCACTCGCCCGTGTGGATGGATTCTAGTACGTCGAAAGAATGTAGCGTTTTGGAGGAGATCGTGGGTGGACCTCATGTAAGCATCCCGGCTTTTTACACACGGAACAAGAAGAATCAACGTATTCTTTTCTCAAATATGTCCAAGCTTAATTATGAATACGTTCGTCGTTTTTCGCAAATGTGCGCTTATTTCTGATACTTGATTCGTCAAACATTAGTTTTTTTTTCACGAGACGCTATTTCTGTGATGTTTCCTTTTTTTTTTTTTTTTTTAACGGACCCGACGGTTCGTAAATGTGCGAGAATAGATTCGTCAAATATTTAAAAATCCAAGCGCCGCTTTAGATTTACTGTTAGAACACACAACAATAGTTCGACGAGGTTCATTCACGCGTGTCGCGTGTGATTTCAGAAATTAGCGGAAATAACGGGTTCGCGGGCGTACGAGAGATTCTCGGGACCGCAGATAGCAAAAGTAGCGCGCACGAAACCGGAAGCCTACTGCAACACTGAGGTATTATCTACTAAAAACTCATGGCTTCTTCTTCCAAAAAAATGAGAAACGAGGCAATCGATCGAGGTATAATCGTTACGTATGGTTATTACTGATTGATAATGATACGATTGTGTGTCGCTTCTGTTTTTTTGCGATGTTCTGTGCGATATCTGTGTGTGTGTGTCAGTGCATTTGTCGTGATCATTAGAGTGTGATCAAAATCTCGTTCGAATTCACATAGTAGTTGACTTACTCTTGTGTCCTCTTACGGAGTTTTGATTACAATATTAATTTCAGTCTTTCGGTTTCCAGAGTGCGAATGTGCGCGTAAAATTCAAACAAAGTTTCCACGATGTAGAATCTCCGCGCTGCGTGATCTAACGCCTCTACTTATATCCCGATGATCCGACTCGCATGCGTCATACGTTTCGCGCCGCTTCCCAAAACGCGTTCGCAAACATTGTCATTATTATTTATTACGCGCGTTCTTTGTTTTTTCTCCAGAGAATTTCGTTGATCAGTAGCTTTCTCGCTTCCCTGTTCCTGGGCGATTACGCGCCAATCGATTGGTCGGACGGCTCGGGTATGAATCTGTTAAACATTAGGACGAAGGACTGGGACGATCTGTTATTGGAGGTAATACATAACGTTTCTGTGTATACATCACATACGCATGTGTAATTTACGTTCGTTCTTGCTGTGTGTCGCACACGTAGACTTGCGCATCGGGACTGAGAGAAAAATTGGATAAACCTGTTTCCTCGTGCACCGATATCGGATGTATATCGGCCTATTTCGCGGAAAGATTCGGTTTCAACGAGAAGTGTAGAATAATCGCGTTTACCGGAGACAATCCAAGTTCCCTGGTCGGTACGTAGTACATCGTTCGGTGACGGTCTGATTAATTCGACGCGCGTCTCGCGCTAGAAAACACTTGTATTCATAATGCAAATGGTATATACGTAGGTATGAGGCTAAAAGAAGGTGATATCGCTTGCAGCTTGGGTACGAGCGATACTTTAATCTTGTGGTTAAACGAGCCAAAAACCATAACGGATGGTCATGTGCTGTGCAATCCGGTGAACGATCAGGCTTACATGGCGTTACTCGGGTAAACAGATATGTAATTCCTGTCGTAATAAAACAATAAGAGCGACAGTAATTAATTTTCATTAATTACAGTTTCAAGAACGGTTCGTTAACGCGCGAAAGAATACGTAACGAGGCTGCGCAGGGTAGCTGGCAGATATTCAACGAATTATTGGAAAGCACACCGCGGGGAAATTTCGGAAACTTTGCTTTGTACTTCGACATGCAAGAGATCCTGCCGTTTGTCGTTGGCGATTACAGATACAACAAAGCTAACGACGAGATCTCCCGTTACAGTTCGAAGGAAGTGGAAGTGAGAGCGCTCGTCGAAGGTCAATTTGTCGCAAAGAGAGCGTACGCCGAAGACTTTGGATTTGTCATCGGTAAACGCGACTTTCTTAGCACGTTCTTATTTCGCAATCAACAATTCATGACGTTCTCTGTTTCTCTTTTGTGCGCACGCAGGATCCGACACGCGGATAATCGCAACGGGAGGCGCATCGATAAATAAAGCTATACTACAAGTGCTCTCCGATGTGTTTAACTCACCGGTGTATGTTCTGGTAAACACAAAAATAACGAATAAATTTTTATTATCGTTTGTTTATTTTGGAATATACGAAAGGTTTTTGTATCTGTAATTTTAATTCGAAAGGAAGCAGCTAATTCGGCCATGATGGGTGCGGCGTATCATGCGAAACACGGTTTGTTACGGAATAATTGCAGTTTCGACGAAATTACACGCTGCTTGCCAGAATTAACTCTTGTATGCCAACCTTACGACGATGCCGAATCCGTAAGCACAAACCAAAATTATTTTACTATCTTTTATTACAATTACAATTTATAAATTCTAAAATCGAAACATAATTTTAGATTTATAAACCTATGACGGTGCGTTATCGCAGAATTGTAAATCAGATATTGAGGAAACAAAGTGAAAAGAAATATATGTAAAATATTTGTAAATAGTAACTAAATATTCTAAAGAAAGAGGCCTTTTTATACATTCCGTATTTCAAAAGACTTATGCTTTTAAAAGTACTGTATAAATATATAAATACAAATATATATATACAAATATATATACATATATATACATACCAATATATAAATATATACATAAAATATATAAATATATAAATATATATAGTCGTTTTTCATTGCTATATACTCTCCTCTGTAAATTAGATATGTTTATAAAACTTACAACATATCTCTTTTTTATTATATTACGAGAGAAGATATCGTAGAAGTGTTTTATAAACGCGAGAATTTCATATATTTTGTATAGAACAGATGAAATATTTCCTCATTTTTTAAAAAGCTTTATAACCGAAATATTTTTATGATTTATTGTAACAACAAATACATGTTATCAAATTTTAACGATTTAAAAAATACGTAATATAATATAAAAAAATGACAAATTATAACAAAAATATTTAATGTAACATTAAATTTGCGTTATAAATTATAGATAATTGTTATATTCTAATATTTATGTGGATTAAATAAATATGACATATATTTTAATCGAATATATGTATTTTGGATTCTTTTCTATAATAGCTGATGGCGTAAGAACTGGTCCAATATTATATTATCAATATATATTAGGTGCATATATATTTCTCAAATGTTTTCATACCTTTTTATTTATTTACTTTTCCTACCACCTCTTTCTTTCGGCAACAGGTTGATAACATTGCCCGAAGTTAAATTGTAATACGCGAGGGTGTTACCATCCTTGAAGAACATTCCCTAGAAATAGAAAGTCAAGTTTGTAGAATCTGATATTTACTTGCAATCTCATTTCTATGTGTAAACTTTGATTAACGATCGTTATATATACCTCATACTGTAACTTTTGCTTTCCAGGCGGCATGCCAGTTTGCTCGTGAATAAGCGCTTTCATGGTTGCCACGGTATCGCTTGTTTGTAAAGTAATATTCAACGTTTGTCCGTTCAATTTCCATTCAGCTTTCTCAGTCATCATAGGTACAGCAATATTAAGCTGTACGGGACCCTGCAACAATTTTGTTTTAAATAGAAACTTAGCCATAGTCCCAACTGCACGCGACGTAGTTAAAGAGATATATAATTATTTTTTTCTTACTTTGTTTCTAGCAAGAAATTGTTGCTCCGGAATTAATGAGTCTTCGGTNCTGAGTTTCTTAGCTTGCGGCTCTTCTTCCATCGGCTTGTTAGGAGGATGCTTTAATCCGATCTTTAAAAAAAAGAATAAGATTAATTAAATTTTAAGTTTATATAATATAGTAAAAAAGAAAATGTACACAATTGAGTTCATAAAAAAAAATTACTTACAGCGGGTGCCATCGGTGGCTGTATCGGTGGTGGTGCCGGCATGAACGGTGACATTGCTGGCGCTGCAACAGATGGTTTAGTTCGTTTACCTTTGTCTATAAAAGTGCAATAATATTTTTCAAGATATATAGAATATAGTTTCGTACTCATCAAAGGTGGCGGTCTGGCCGACATAGGTGGCATAGGCATCATCATCATCGGCGCCTGCGGCATCATCGGTTGGGGTATGCCCATGGGGGCAGGCATACTCATGGTTGGCGGTGGAGGCGGTTGAGTGGGCACTGGTATAGGCTTCGGCGCGGGAGGTTTCGGAGGTGCTTTCAAAGTAGCTTGCGGCTTAGAAGCAGCTGCAGCCATATGAGTAAGTTCGGTCGCACGATTCACCGGTTTCGGACCGATTTTCTCTTTCTCTTCGTCAGGAAGGAGACCCTTGACCTTATGTATCTGATGAATTTGTTCTTCCAGCGTGATATTCGCGCGCGCAGCTCTCGTAGCTGCTTCCACACTTGAGGTGTGACCGTCCCAAGTGACTTTATCATCCTTCTTCTTGTCCTCCTCGCCAATCTTTTTACCGATCGCGGTTTCTTCGTCACCAACACCAAATATATCGGTACGTCTCTCGGCGAGCTGCTTGAGACTCGCTTCGATCGCTGTGCCCGGCGCAAATACGGTTTCCTGTGCCAATTTGTCCAGATGCTTGTCTCTCTGTTCGACCCAGCGCGGATCCAACAGTCCGATACGCATATGTTCTTGCACTTTACTAGCAGGTATACGTTCGCCAGTAATCGGCGAGATCAAATACTCATCCGGAGCCACAGGACGAGCAGTTTTATTAACTGTAACAAATATATTAAGAATAAAATTTTTGTATCCAAGCGATAATAGAGCGATTGATAGAAAGATATGTTTTTTACCGTATTGTTTCGGATCGTATCCTTTCTTGACCACCACATTTCCTGGCGTAGGCGGTAATGGTGGAGGCTGCATATTCGTCTCGCGCGGTTTGAGCTCTTTGGATTTGTGAGTGTCACCCGGTGGAGATATGTCGTCTTCCTCGCTAGAATCTTCTTCCATATCTTCTACCTTGAAATAGTAATGTGAAAAATAGTAACATATGATACAATAAAATCGTCTTGACAAATAAATATTAAAACACTTACTTGATTGTTGTCTTTCGCACGATCTTTCTCGCCTTCTGTACGCGCTTGTGTTTCCTCTTCTGCATCACTATCGATTTGCATTTCCACATCTTCACCTTCCTCTATACGTTCCTACGCACACATAAACAAAAATCTTTTCAAGTAATCCAATATTTGATGTGAATCAAAGATTTTTTTATCTTCCAACTAATGAAATAAGCAATTTTTAAAAACAAAATTGTGATCAAACCTGCATGAGAACACGCGCGCCAACTTCGTCCGGTGTTGTTGGTGCTGGAAAATTACCGACTTCAAATTGTTGATAATCCACAGTTTCAACCACAACAAAATCGTGCCAATCAATCTGTGCATATGCAACTCTCTCTCTTTCTAATTCTTCTTCCTCTTTACGTCTCTGTGCCTCCTGATATTTTAAATATTCAGCACGATATTTTACTTGCTCCAAGATTTTGTCCCTGTTGGAAGCTTCGTCTCTAAGACGTGACAGTAAATCCTTAGGTGGAATCAGTACCTGTTAAAATATATAAAATGTGAAATTTTACACAGTAAAAATTTATGTCAATATTTATAGCAAAACAATTGCTTATTTGTCTACCTTGGTATATTGCTCCAACAGTTTGGTGAAGTACTGAAACAAGGAATGTTGAGGGCGCAAAAAGTCAAATTGGAAATTCCTTTGCTCACGATTCATTAGATTTGTTAAGAATTGTCTTCCATTACGTGCAACAAATTGAGCTGTTAGCTTTACAATATCTCTGAAAAAGAAACATACAATTTTGTACACTTTTTATATAAAAAAAAACAATAATTACATATGAAACTTATTACACACAAATCAAGAGCTGATATAGATGGAGGATCTGCTATAAATTCAAACTCAGCTGGTGGATCCTTAGGCACAAATGGTTGTTCAACTTGTTTCAAGATCTCCTGCTGCTTCTGATGTGCAGTAAGATTAACACTCTTCAGAGGAATTGAACCTACCATAGGTTCTTGACCTTTACCCTCTTTAAACTCCTTTACTTTGTGCTGATAATACGCATGATAGGGATCACCAAAGTTTAAAAAATTGAATTTCGGATTGCCCAACTCATTTTGTCTGATTCTAGACTCAAACTCTGGCCCATTCCTCGCCACAAAGCTGGCAGTTTTGTCAACGATATCTGAAGTTTTAATAAGGAAGAACAATACTTCTTATGTCAAGCGAACAGTGGTAACTCAGAGCTGACTGGCAACTTCAAATGTATCGCATAAAAAATTCATTTGTACTTGCACCACTTTTTCCCAGTAATGCCTTGCAGTGCATATTTATATTTTTCGCATTTCTTGTGTTTTTTGGTAAAGGATACTCCTAACCTCTGGAGGCGGATAAATAATGCCCACAATCGGCTGTGACGAAGGAGCATTATCTTCATTCTCTATTAGCGGTGGTTGTTGCACCGCTACTTCCGACATTTTGTTCACAAATTGTATGTCAAGTTTATTGCACAAATGTTATAGTTTTTAAAACTCAAAAAATTATCACATAATAAGTAGGTAAATATCTTCACACACGCCGGAGAAAAGACTGAAAGCGGCCAGAGCCAGGGCCATATGAAACGTCAAACGCACTCGCGGAACATAACACGGAATAGAACCATTTTCCATGTTTGTGCATAGGTACCGACAAGTTGTTCGTGGACATGACTACGTAGTTGCCAATGTGTACCACCCACACATTGCGCTGGCTTACAGGGCAGAAAAGCAATTACACATTCTCTCATAGGCCTGGCCGCTCTCAGTATTCTCTCTAGTCACAGTTAATTTTTAATGAAGTCAATTTTTATAATTTTTTTAAAATAAAAACCGTTAAAAAATAAAGTAAAATAATATTCTAAATTTAAAAGATTCGCAGCTTCTGAGAAAACTTCCATGATAGCGTACAAATAAAACAATAATGAAATAATATTTATTAAAATCTTAAAGATAAAAAGTGTAGAAAAAAATAGAGAAAGAAAAATGACTTAAAATTGTTAAAATGGATAATATCTGTTTCTTTTTCTTTCTGCTGTGATTTATGATGATTACTGATGTGTCACATATGTAATAATCACGCGGCTTAGCAGCCATGGACACCGTCGCCCGGGCAACTGGAATAAATTCTGTAAACACAGAGATAGGTATTGTCGTGTCCAGGGGATTGCATGAAAAAAAATCGCTCAACAACCGGAGGTCTTCTGTTCGACGTGTGCACGAAGATGTGAATGTGCCGCGTTCGCCTAAAAGAATATACCTCGGACGAAAGTCTATCATCATTCCGGGCTTGTGTTTTCGAAATTCTGCCGCCAAAGCTACGACAATGTCAGAAAAAAAGGCCGGAGAGAAAGTCTCTGAGATTGACGCGCACATCAGCAAACAATATGACATCGTGCGACGCCTCGGTAAAGGGGTAATGTCAATTTTTAGGTTTTTTACATTCTTTTGAATCGTACGCAAAGTTTCACGCCAAAAATAAGGAGAAAGGTTATCACATATTGGTGACCGGTCGTTAACCGATCAGGTTAAAGAAAGAGAGAGAAAAAACTGTCCTGAAACATTGCGCTCTCTTTCTAACATCTGAATAAATCACACCATCTTGTAAATTGAATCGGAAGTACAGATTCCAACTTGAAATTGAATTGTAAAGTGTGATATAATTTACTTGTTCCGTGACATCAAAATAAATTATTTTATTTTTGATAAAAATCTACAAATAAATTAAATAAGTTTAACATGGGTCGTGTACAGCAACATGTTTAGTAGAAACTAAAATAATATTTTTAGTAGAAACAAAATAATTTTTTTTTGTAATTTTCAATACATAGGCTTACGGCATTGTGTGGAAGGCAATCGAGAAGAAAAAGAAGGAAACTGTCGCGGTGAAGAAGATCTTTGATGCTTTCAGAAATCAGACGGATGCACAGCGCACATTTCGCGAGATTATATTTTTGTTGTCGTTTGCAAATCACGAGAACATCATAAAGCTGATCGGATTGCACAAAGCGGACAACGACCGAGATATTTATCTTGTTTTCGAGTATATGGGTGAGTTTTGCTCGGTCCAAAGAAGAATTCGCACACAAAGGTCATGTCAAATGCGCCGATTCTCAGACTTTTGGCTTGAAACACGTTTCGGCCCGTTTCTCCAGAAACCGATCTTCACAACGTCATTAAGCGGGGCAATATCCTCAAGGACATCCACAAGGTCTTCATCATGTACCAACTTTTCAAAGCGATCAAGTACATACACTCAGGCAACGTCATTCACAGAGACTTGAAGGTGATATCGAGTCTTGCACTCTCTGACAATTACAAAGTTTATTTTTGTTTTGCACAAATTTCTAAATTTTTTATAAAAAAGGTCTTCGAGAAATTTTGTGTATAAATTTTAATAAAGCAAAGGTTTTTTTTTTAGGTAATTACATATTTTCTAATATTATAGCTTGTCCATTAAATCTTTATCTGATCAGAGAATTTTCCCAATACATTAAGTTTGCACCGTTCTTTTATAGCCGTCCAATGTGCTTCTGAATGCACAATGTCATTGCAAGATCGCGGATTTCGGATTAGCGCGTTCGGTAACGCAAAACGGTGAGAATGACGGCGATGCCGGAAGTGATCCAACACTGACGGACTACGTCGCCACACGTTGGTATCGCGCGCCAGAAATTCTCATAGCTTCAAAGAGGTATATTTATTTGACCTGCAGTCCTCTCAATTCTTTTCTGGAAGTAAACAAGAGAACACAACGATATTAACAATAATACGAATGTTCTTAGATACACAAAGGGAATAGATATGTGGTCCTTAGGTTGTATTCTCGGTGAAATGCTACTCGGAAAACCGTTGTTTCCTGGTTCGTCAACAATAAACCAGGTGGAAAGAATAATGGCGACTCTGCCCCCGCCAACGGACGAAGGTGACCCTTCTGTGACACCAAAAGAGAAGAGAACGAGAAAAAAAATACAATTAAATTTTCTCTTCTCGATTATTTTTTTTCAGATTTAATGTCAGTCAGCGCTGGTTACGGAACCAATTTATTAGAGAAGACACCCAGTGGACCCAGACGTAGTCTGAGAGATCTGTTGCCGGAGGTGTCGGAGAAAGCTTTAAATCTTATCAGCAATTTGATAGTTTTCAATCCCACGCAACGACTCACGGCCGTCGAAGCATTGGAACATCCGTATGTTGCCGAGTAAGTTTATTTATCACAATATTGAAGATGATAAGTAAGTTGAAAATTAATTACAAATTTATTTTTATTTTTTTTTCTATGAAATATCAATCTATATGAATTTGAATTCCAATTCACCCATTTTTTTCTAATAGTCAATCTTTACAATTAATTATTTGTATAAACGTGCGTACACATAAAATATAAATAAACATAATTTTTCATAGCGTGTTCAATTTCCAGTAAGCTTTTATTTTTCTGAACCTTGAAATGTAAAGAATGTATCATTATGTTGTCGTGTTCTGCGCGCATTCAATTCGCGTCTGTAATTTTACTTGATGTTTTATTGCACGAAACAGATATCTCATGCAGACTAGTGCAGGAATCTTTTAGTTTTATACTCTGTCATATTCGTAAAACTATCATTTGCATACAAATATACAGAATACGTTAATTTTCAATAATAAGGAAAATAAAGAGATTTCGTTGAAAAATAGATACGATTTTGATATTTCTCTACATTTTCAAATTTTTTTCGCGAAAAATGTTTTACACGTATACAATTTCACTAAAATTTTTATAATTTTTTAATCAAAAAATTTTGAGAGAAGAAAACACAAAAATCATTAAAATTAGTTTTAAAATCAAAATGTGCAAAAGGCAGGCGATTTGTAAATGGCAATCTGAAATGTAGAGAGAATTTCTCTTTATGACAGTTTTCATAGAAGAGGAAATGAGCCGGAAAAAGGTTCTAGCGTCGTGCCATTATTAAGTGACGATGTGCAGCTCTCCGTCGACGAATACAGAAATAAACTTTACGCATTAATGGATGAGAATCATCGAAAACATAAAAATTTGTAAGCATATTTAAATTTTTTATTCACAGCTAAATTTAAAATATAAAGAATATAACATAGATAAATCGCTCAATATATTTTCATATCTCGTTTATTAACAACTTTTGCAGATCAAAGTCCAGATTACGGCGACTATCTGAAAGAATGAAAAGCGAGAGCAGTAAAAATGCTCCGAGAATTGGTCAAGGTGATACTGTTGTCGGTAAGAAAAATATATAAAAAATATATATAAGAATCAAAATTTTATATATATAAACAGTTTATATTTCTTATTTTATTTTATTTTATTTTCAGCATGTCCGTCGTTACCAAATAGAAAGATAAAGTCGTCCCAAGGCGATAATACTACAAAAACAAGAACAATAAACACCAAAGAAGCACCTATGCAGGAGACCTTCACAAATTCTCGACATCATGGTAAAGATTTTATAACAATGATGTGAATGTCAGTTTTATTCTAAATCTCCACGCATTCGCGATTGATTTACAGTTAGAAACGTGTCAACTCAGTACACCAACAGTAACTTGATGAATGGTAACGTGGGAAACATACCACCCGCAACGGTCAAAAGTTGTTTTTATCTTAATCAGCAGCATTCGCAGTTGTCTAAATCTCAGCGTTCCATACAATCGGATCAAATGGCAACGGTGAGCATAAAATTGTTTATTTGTTTTATTTATTTCTTTCTCCTTGTATTCGCTTTTTTCGCGCGTCACTAGCCTTCTGCTTACATTACGAAGATAAACGGACAATTCTATTATTACAGGCTACATGTCGCGTGGGATTTACGTTTAGGTACTGTAACTATTTATCTGTACATCTCTCATTTAGCGGATTGTACGCAACTCTATAATTTCAGCACGTCGCATTGCAATTAGTCGCTTTCAAACAATTAAAAAGTCATGCAATTAGCTATATGTATTGCTGATCTATTATTGCAATAATGTTAGTATATATATAAGTTAGTATATAAATTTCTAGAAGATGTTTAATTTCACTGATAATAGACGAATGCAATCTTAGTTCTCGATAAGTTTCTTATCTCATCTGCTTTTTTCGCATTCGTGAATAAACACGTTATATCAAAACTGCAATTGATGCAACGCGTATGTCATCAAGTGCATCTGATATTTATGTTATTCCCGGAATTGAATATTTCAATTGTAGCACTGCGCCGGAAGGAAATCGAACCAATTAGCTGGACCAACACGTACCAAACTACGCAGATCTTGCAGGCAACAGAGCGTCACTCAAGCACCAATGCCCTTCACATTTGCGTCAGCTAATTGTTGCGGTGATGATCGTCGGCCTAAAACGATGCCGGCGAAGTCGATCCGAATCAATGACAGTCCAAAGATGATCAAGCAAGCTGCGAGTAACGTCACGAAGCATTTCGTCAGGACCAGAGGAGAGTGTCGAATGAGCAGTCCCGAATCGTCGCATCTAAGTCATCAGCAAGCCATTCGCAACTATTTAAATCAAACGATGCCGGTGACGGTAGAGCAACAATCACAGACGCGGTATCGCACATCGTATCAGAGCAAAAGCAACTTCATCGACAGAACGTGTACCGCTGTCGATACCGGGAATCGTGTCAGAAGCGCAGCGCCGCGTAATCAAGCGAACAGAACGAGACACAGTTTTGACGGCAGCTGCATTGCTCAAAGAAAGTCATCAACGATACACCACGACAAATCAAAGTTTCTGGACAGTTACAATCAGAACCATGGCGTGATAGCCGCGTCGGTTTACAAGGATCTTTGTAACGGGACTATAGGATGGTAGGCGTGCTTTGCGGAGGATGAGGACGAGAACGGGATACTAGCGCGACGATCGCTTTCTTTGAGGGGATTTATGCAACGGGCAAAGCGTATATCCCTCAAAGTTTCAAGTATGAGTTTTTTTTTTTTTTTTTCAGAAAAATGATAATCGGGAAACGATTTCTTTGTGAATGCAACTGAGATATTCCGGTGACTTTTACTCACGACAATTTGCTGAATGAAAATGTAAAGAATATTTTGTTGTAATGACATTTTTAATATTTTTCTTCTATAAATTCTTCCGAATCGGTCTATATTTTGGTAAACAAATTATTATCTACCAAATGTGTTTGTTTTATAATTTTATGCGTGGAATGCAAATGAGATAATTTTTGTTTTTGAAACAAGATAATTGACAAAACACTGCTATTAATCAAAATATTTTCGCGATAAAAAAGAAGCGGTCGTCGTGGGTTTTTTCCGAGAGTTCATCTCGTTCATCCTCACGCTTGTTCATTTTCACGCAGGAAGCGCCGTCTCGCTCAATTGACGCAAGATTCGTAAGTAAATAAGCAAATATATTGCACTATATAAGCGAATTAATAAGCAATGCTCGCACGTTCGATACTTCGAGTTCTCACGGGGATGAAATCGATAGGAACGTCAATCGAACAAACAATCGCAAAACTCTTAAAGTTTGAAAATTATTATAAATATACTCTTTTATACAACTACCTCAACTTTTTATATCAACGTTGAAAATAGGAAAAAAAAAAAATTAGAGAAAGAGGTAAGCGCCTTAAAACGGTTCTCGTTCAAAAATGCGACAATAAAAAACAGCTTTGATAGAGGGTAAAAATTTTTTTCCGATAAAAACACGGAAAAAAAATGTTTAAGTAGTAAACTAAGGAGAGACAGACGAAGTATGAGGAGTAAAAATCGCAGTAATTAGAGAGGAATCACTCTCTGGGAATTCGAAGAGCACGTACAAGCGTAGAAAAGAAACACGTAAAAAATTACACAAATGCAAATCGATTCATGCGGTAACACGCATTTTTCTATGACGTTTTATTTGTACGATGCGGATATATGGAGTACATTTGATACACGCGATACGATATACATATCAACCGTGTATCCGTCGTCGATTTAATGTACAAATCTCATTGTATCATATTTGTGTCGCGGCACTTTTGTGCGGCGACGCTCGACAGCGTTCGGACTCGTGTATACTGTACGTATCGTAAGAATAAACTTTTAATAAAGACAGGGGGAACGGTGTCCGTGTTTTTTTTTTTTTTTCAATTAGAAGATTGAATTGAGACCGTATGAATTAACCTTGTTAATATATGATTTACGATTGATCTCACACATTTAATTTATATACATACAACACATGTGGTTTTTGTGCGCGTATAAAGATTTATTGAGCATTCTCTTGATCCCGGCGTTATCCCGGCAATCATTCATCAGATGTTGGCTGTGTGAAGAATGACCAGATACGTAGTTATGCCAGAGGCTATCTGCAAAAAAAAATAACGAATCGTCAGAGTTATTCCCGAAAATGTTCCACACGCGGCCAAAATATTTTTCTCGAGCCTTACCGTGAGAAGCAACGGAAGATCGATGCGTATGATTCCGAAGAGAGCAAAAAAGTGCACTTGCCGTAGGTGAAAGTACGTCACAGCTTCCACGCTGCAATCCTGCCGTCATTTAACGGTCTTTATTTTTTTTTTTTTTTACCGAAGTAATTTTACATGAAAAAAATAAGTGAGAGACAAACGGAGTGAAATTTTACTTTCTTCTTTTCTTTTAAATTCGAACTTATTATGTACGCTGAAAATTTTATTTTACCTGTATGAAATTTCGTTTCGCGAGTATGGCCGATGACGGCATGAAGGCGATCATACCGACGCGATTAGCCTTCGAGAGAGAAAAAAATAATATTAGTCACAATCGAAGATAGCGGGAGATTCATGTTTTGTTTTCAACATGGATCTACCTGAGCCGCGGTCGCGTGACAGGTGATGGTAATGATGAGCAAATTTGTCACGCAAGCGGATACTAGTAACACCTCCCTCAGCATTAACAGAGGAAATGAAATCGTCTCGCCTTCGTTGATCGTGTAGAGACGCGTTAGAGTATTGAAGGACATACAAGAGAGCCAGAGCAGAAGCTGCACCCCGTACACGGAATTTATCATCTCGGTCGCGTTGGCGAGACACGAGTGCAACCACCACACCTCTTGTAAGCGAAAGTGTCTGCTTGACCGATCTATTACCGTCATGATTTTTCCATCTGTTCGAACACACATTACGTTTTGAATCAAATTCGCAATCAATTGCGAGCTGATTGATTATCTTCGATCGTTGGAAACGATTTTGCTAATGATTTCGCTCTTAATATCAATCATTGTTCTGGTTTTGCGACGTCTGTAAAAAAAAAATTCTCTTCTTAATCAACGTACGCGAGAGATCTTTTTACGGATATCGGAGCGTATGAGTTATGATTCCTGATAATTTTATTAGACGTTCGGCAAAGTTTATTTTCGTTATTTCATATCGAGTGATCTATCTGTATGTCCTTAAAACGAGCCGTAGGTCAACATCACTGATATTTATTTGTCGGGAACTTCCATCCTCGGACACACGATCGGTATCTTCATCATCGACTAAGCCGGGTGGGAAAGCACGCCTTGATACACGCCCCGCAATAATAACGGCCGATGAATGTTTGCGGAAGGACAGAAAGAAAAATAGCAAGTGCGGAATAATATATATAGTTGATGTAAAACGTCATATTTTACTACTGCGTTTTAATAAAATTAGATCGTATAAATTTTTTTTCAGAAAATCACAGAGGAGAGAAATGATCATTTACGCGTAATGGTAAATAAATTGGCTCACCTTTGGGTAACAGCAATATATCACAAAGACGACGAAATCTCTCGTACAGGAGGAATGAAAAACTCGCGAACATCAATAGCTGCATCGATATCGTCGAATTAACGTAGGCGTAAGTTACAGCATTGAACACAGCGTCTTCAGGCTCGACACTAGAAATGACAAAGTTACAAATAATGGTCATTACGAGAGAAAGAGAGAGAATCGTTCAGGTACAAAAAATTGACTCATATTTTCTAATAACTATAACATGCTATTCTCTTTTAACTCTTTTTTGTTTTAACTCTCTTTTCATCACTACTCATATTTCGAAATTCATACATTTTTCGTATAAAAGTTCTTTATTCCATTATTCGCTTATATGTAAAATAAACGTAAAATATGCTCACCGAAACGTTATGTATCCAACTATTGACCAATACAACAAAGTAACAAAAGTCAGAGCCCCGCAAATGTAAGACACTCGGTAAACGGTTTTCGTCTCTTTTTCGTATCGCGTCGCTCGATCGAAGACGCGTAAGTGCGACATCGCGGTTTGTATTTTCCAGTTGCACCACACCTTCATGATAATGTCACTTAGAACACAGGCGTACGAGAGGACCGTTCTCACCACGGTGAGCGTGAGCAATCTCGGCTCGAGCATATTGTCCATCCGAAGCATGTAAAAACTGTATAAGCAGAGACCCGCGTAAAGCAACGCGAACAGAACCGAATAAACGATGCTGTATTTCATCATGGTGATGTCTTCTTCACTGACGGAGTAAAATCCGACCCCGAACAATCTGGCGGTGTACAACAGCGGTCGTATATCATTCAGAGACACCATTGTGTCATCTGGATCTTGAGAAGACGTCGAAGTTTTTGCAAAGAAATGTAAGTATGTGATTCTCTGGAAAAGCCGAGAGAGATCACGATCGGTGTAAGATCTTCAGAGTAGAAAAACAATGTACAAAAGATACGTTGCCGTATTTTTACATCATATACGAAACAGTGGAAAAAAAAGAAATATAGAAAATATATACATATAAAGTTGAACACAGATTTTTTAAATGAAACAAAAGATATGTCTTAAAAAAAAACTAGAATACACGTATAAGATTAAAAACGAACATAATTAATTTTTTATATGAATCAACATCGAGTTCTTTTTTTGTACGTGACACATGCAACGCAAACGGAATAAACATTTCACGGAGATCAGAAATGGTTTTCATACTCGTAGCACTTTGTGTCGTTTCGCGACTCGAAATAAACCGAATTATAGCAGTTACGTTCGATCAAAGCGACCGCCTAGATTCGTCGAACAGAGTGGGTTCAAATTGCCGCGCAATTGCAAAACTCGGAGAGAACTATCGTAAAACTCACTCCGTGAGAGTGCTCGCCATCAAAGCGAACGTACATACTACTGCCGGGACATAAACCAAGTTTCTCCCCTTAGCCTTAGTTTTAATGACGACGTCAGTAAGATAAATGAAGAGCGCGAGGGATAGATGCGTGACCCTCTCTTGGTTTTTTTAAAATACTTTTTCTCTCTCTTCTCACGATGCTAATCTACGACTGACAATGCAAATATAATTATAACGCGCGAAGCGTTAATTAACAACCGCCGTCGCAAGGATATCCGAAAGTTCGACGGACAGACTGATATTGAAGGCAGTTGACTGCTTTCTGTCCATTACGATGACGATCCTGCGAACGATTATTTACCCACCCCTTTGCGAGAAGGGGGAAAAAATAATCGGCGCAATCGTGAAGAGTCAGCCACGTTGAACGTCACATTTCTCGTGACATTACTACATGCGATTAGGATCAGATGCTAAGTGTTCCGAGATTAACGAGTCACAATGGAAAAAAAATTGCAGCAATCTTGAACACGTTGCGGAAAAAGATGAGAGGATACGTGACGATATAACATTATCTAGAATTATAAATAATAAGTTACTGTTGGATGTCAGATTGTTCTAATATCAGGAAAGAGATATATTTAATATTGAAAAAAAAGAGAGAGAGAGAAAGAGAGAGACAGAAAGTGAAATCACGTGCAAGCGCAAAATATATTTATATATTTATATATTATATATATTTTTAGAATTGCAATGAATATGAATATACATATTTTTAATATTTATGTCGCTTTTCACGTCGCGTGAATAGAAAAAAAAATATCTATCACCTATAAGAGATTTGGCACGTACGTGGTAATTTGAAAAAGAAAATTTCTACATGTAAAAACTATATGCACGTCAATTTTAATTTAATTCTGTAAACCTCGGACATTAAGGTCCGAGCGATTCTTGAAAATGAGATATTTATTAACTATTTAGTGGAAAAGTTTCTAAAAATTAAAAAATACATTTTCTTAATGTAGCATGTTGAACAAAGCCCCATGAATGTTTACAGAATTTATCCAACGTTTTAACTAATAAAAAAATCGCATCAGACATAAATGTCCAGGACTTACAGGATACGTACCTAAAAAACGTTTTTTTTTTTACAGTATTAGGGTTAAGGACGTGGTGAATTGAGAGTATGTTAGTTGAAATGGCTATGCGTTAAACGGGGTCTCTCCTAATAGGTCACGGTGACATCGGTCAAATAAAGAAATGTCAATTAATCTTTCCGTTTATGGCGTAGATAAACGCTTAGATCGAAATAGAGAAGTGTCATTCACATTGTAGTTACGGTTGCGTGTATCATTAGCGTTTGATAAAAATATTTGATCGAAGAAAATATTTGTTTTCTAACGTAGAATCGCAGACATATATTGTGCATTGTACGTATAAAACACATCTTTCCTATAAAGACAAACGTATTCTTTTGAGGAAGACAAGCGTGTACTTTTTTTCTTCGTTACTTTATTTTACGAGGAACAAACGCGACGTTATCGTATTGCTTATTTAATGACTCAAAGTAGATCTTGTTTCTGCGCAAACTACTAACAATAAAATTCTCCATCATAGTGTAGATACGTCGTAAATACTGCTCTTTCCATGTTAATTTTAAGAATTATTTATCATCTTGTGTGTACTCTCTCTCTCTCCTAGTTGACTTCAAGATAACTTCTATCGCGCGATAGCACTGTTTATATATTTACCATTCATTGACGAAAATAATAGAGATGAAGAATTTCTTATCTCTTATCTTTCTCCTCCTTATCTTTATTTTTCTTCTTTATATCTGTATATCTATAAAAAAAAACTACAATTTTACTGTTTAAAATTTTTCTTTCTACGTAAACTGTTAACAAAAATAAACAAACCTCTCTCTCTCCTTTCTTTTTCAGTCGATACAAAAATCATTCCGTCTGTTTCTCTTGAATTGACTAATAAACAAGAAATGACTCCTGTGTGTAGACTTGTGTCGCTAATTGAAAAGCATCATAAAATGCGTACATTTGATTTAATTGTGGACATGCGCCAGACAGCAATTTTATTGACAGACATGGATGACATCCGCCGGTTGATAATGTCAGCCGCCACTTGGTCGTTTGTCGCTAATATATCCGGTCGATGTTGCAGGTTGCAGTTAACGCGGAGCGTAATGGACAGAGCGAGCTCGTTGAGCGACGTTTGTCGCGCAGCCCCGAAGAAGTATGGCGACGTGGGAGAGCGACAAGTTTCAGGACGACGGGAATGCCGACGATATAGATGACAATTTCGACAATATCCTCGTAACGCACGATCTACAGGACTGTCTGGATGACAGTCTGGACCTGTCGAGCTTTGAGAAGGTTTACGAGCAGAGCGCGGTGTTTGATTACGAAAAGTACAACGACGACGACGACGCGCGCGATGTTGCTATCAACGAGAAGCTATCCGCCGCCGATGACAACACGACCGGGTGAGTTTTGCAACTTTGAGAAAGTTTTTCGCGACAATCTCGATCTTGCGTTCCTGTTTTCTTATCGCGCTCGTTCTAACGCGTTGTTTTGTCGCTTTTGCGACTGGATACGCGAGATAAATCGTATCGTGATATTTTCGATCGCACGCTCGTCGGCATTCTTCGCCCCCTCCTTATAAGGCTATAACGAGTTTTGAAACAAGAGCCTTTACAAATTTTGTAAATTGTCTGAGAAAAAACGTTGCTCGCGGGAACAACGTGCGTTGACATTTAAGTGGCTGATACATTTTGTTGTGTATGTTTGTGAAAACTTTCGTATTTTGGCCGCAATATATGCGTGACAATTTTAAAATAAATAAGTCTTATATATATACACATCTATGTCATACAAGCATGTTGCCATAATATAACACACTATTATAACAACAAAAGATATTGTAATCTTTTTGTTCCATTTGAAACTTATATTCATAAAATAAATAATATTGTTTTAAGTGTTTGCACTTGAATAATTTATGTGAATGTTATTGTTCAAAAAAGTACATTATTTCTGTTCATTGTGATAGTATTTGTTATTATTGTTGGCAATCTGATATTTCTATATTCTGCTGTTGCTGCAATCGGGACAGGTGCGGAGTTTGTTACAAATTTAGATTTCGTAATATCCATACAGCAATAAAAGTGACAATCTCGATATTCTTGCATATATATATATATATGTACCAAAAGAGGAAAATATTGCATGTATAAATAATTTAAAGGAATAAATTAAACCAAAAAGAGAACTTTTTTTTTAAAAATATGTAAATTTTAAAAATATGTGTATTTCTAGACTTGCTCATCACACAATCAGCCCAGAAAAATTTTATATGCGAATTCATCAAGAACAGGATAATGCAGTATCTGAAGATCATGCAACTCCCAATAAAATTGAGAGTATGGATGCGGATACCAATCAGAAGCATATAAATCGCTACAACTGTCAATATAAAGGTTGCATCAGAACATATAGCACTATTGGAAATTTACGCACTCACATGAAAACACATAAAGGTAAGATATTTTGTAGGTAAATGAGTTTTTTTTTTTTTTTCAATGAGAATAAACTTAATTTTTTGTGATTTATATAATATGTGTTATAAAATTGAAATAGAATTTTGATAATAAAATATTTTTGTATGCTATAATTGAAAACATACACCATGAGACAAAACTTATTAACATTATCCTGAATTTTTCACACATGTATATTTTTTATTTTATAAAGATAGTAAAAAATATTTGCGAAAAGTTTTAGTTTATGTTCAAGTTTATTGTATATTTGTTTAGGTTTGTCAAAATATTTTTGTTCTTTCAGTAGTTTTGCTAGCACTCTTTTATCATTGTTTATCATTTATAATTGGCTCATATTATTAAGACATGTGCTTTGCATGTTTATGCTTGTCTAAAATATGCAACTTAATCCATGTGTTGTCGTACTAACATGTGTCTGTTTTCGCATATTCGCGGGATAAAAGAAGCCAGGTAAGTTTAAAAATGTATCACATATGTGTTTTGATGTTAGCAGTGATATTACAGTTGTATAGTCTTGCTGCAACTTGATATATATATAAAGTCGTCAGTGCTGGTATAAAGAAAACGCTTCGAACTGCATGGCTTTCAGATACTGCAAGAGATAGGTAGTCCTGCAATCTTTTTATATGCGGAGGGAATTCTCAAAACTTTCAGGCGAGTATCGATTTAAATGCGCAGAGCCGAGTTGCGGCAAGGCCTTTCTCACGTCCTACAGCCTAAAGATCCACATTAGGGTACACACAAAAGTAAAACCATTCGAATGCAACCACAAAGGCTGCGAGAAAGCGTTCAATACCCTTTACAGACTGAGAGCTCATCAGAGACTCCACAGCGGCAACACATTCAACTGCGAAGAGACTGGATGCGTTAAATTCTTCACTACTCTAAGCGATCTCAAGAAACATATACGTACTCATACTCAAGAAAGACCGTACAAGTATGTCTTTCGGTACTTTCTATGATATAAAAAAAAAGACATTACAAATTTATATTTTCTTGCATAAATACATTAAAGAAAAGAAACAATCCCAAAATATAAAACTCAATTAGTGATGCCACTTGAAAACTATTACACGTCAGATTTATTTTACAATTTAGAACTATTTAGGATTTCCTCATTTTTTTTTTAATTGTTCTTTTCAAGGTGCCGAGAAAAAGGTTGTGGGAAAGCCTTTACAGCTTCACATCATTTAAAAACGCACAAAAGGACACATACAGGCGAGCGGCCCTATATATGTACCTTCGAAAATTGCAAACGATGTTTTACCACTCCTCATAGTTTAAAGAGCCATATAAAAACGCACAACAAAGTTATGAATAATGAAACAGTAAGTATTAACATAAGTACAAATATATATTTTGCAGTAGAATATTCAAGGGTATATCGAGTTTTATTGTTCTCGCAATAGAAACCGAAGACCAACGGAGATGACATGGCTCAGAGACAAAAAGTGTTAACACAATTAGAATTAAAACTGATAAAAGTCAGCGACACTAATATACCATCGTCGTACGCCGTCGTACCGATATCCTCAGACCTCACGCAACATAACGGAAATATGTCGTATTTGTCCACGGAAAATGCGGCGAGACAAGTTATTTCCGCGAACGCAACGATGGATATTATGAGCAAGATGAATGCAAAACTCGATTATATTTCTACCAAAGATGCGGAAGACTCAAATAGAAACAACGACGTTGCGCTTCTCGCAACGAACATTGTTTTAAATAATAATTTTAACGAACACGCGATCGCAGACGCTTTTAATAATAACGAAGTTTATAACGACTTTAAAGTATTCAATCAAATGACTGGAGACGTGCAACACGATAATGTAACGGATATAGCCGAACATCAACGGCACAAGTCGGTTTCATTTTCTGAAGCGCGTGGCGATAGTATAGATAGGCGGGACCGATCTATCCCGATAAATTTAGAACAGAAAGTTATGCAAGAAAACTTGCGGAATACGATGACTCAGATTTCAGGAGGAACAGATTTTACGTCTAATATGAAACAGTACAAAAACAACGAATCCATCGCTTCTCCCGACGATGTATTCGCGAAACAATCTACCACAGAAGATATAACTAGTAGTGGCAGCGATGCGTTATACAGTGCCAACTGTATTACTAGTCATATTCCCGATATTATAAGTTCCTCGAATGAAACTCACCTATTTGAGACCGGAATAGAAGCTCTTTCGTTCATCGATGACGCGACCTTGCAAAATGAGCCTCTCGACGCGGTCTCGAATCACAATTTAGACGCGGACGCTACTACAAATGCGCAATACGAAGCCGTCGAACTCGCGATAGCAACGGAAGAGGAATTACCTTCACCCTGGGTAGATGTTATGGCATTGGCAACTGCTCCCGCGTTGAGAACGCAATCTTGGTCGGAATTAAACGCTTTTCCCACAGCAGTTCATTCCCTGGTCGATTTGGTAGGTCCGGAGCCTTATCCGTTAGAGATAGAGTCTCAGTCTACGGAGAATTTGAAAAATGTCAACGCGATAAATACAGAACACACTCCGGCTGACACCGAAATTGTGCAGGGCCAGAAAGCTGATTATGAGAATAAAACGGATAACGTAAAAACCAAGAAGAACAGAAATGTACTGCAAGAGATTACGGCGGATGCTGATATATGTAAGTGTGTCGATTGCAAGTGTGATAACTTGCAAAATTGTCAAAACTGCACGAACAACAGTTCCGTCGAGGAAGTTAAGAAGAAAGATACGATGAAAATTGTGAGCGACTTTGTATCCTCTCTCCAAAGTGGATGTTCCTGCAACACCGAGACCGGTGGTTGTGATTCTTGCTGTGTTGTAATTTGTCTGAAGACATTGCAGCAGCTACAAAAAGTATTTAGTAATTGTTGTAAAAATACTACTAGCGCAACTACAACCACATGTTGTAAAGAAAAATTGCTACCATCCTTGATGAATTACCAGCTAGCTAGAGAAGTCAATGAATCATAAATTTTCCTAACTTAACTAGTCATGCAAGAGAAATAACACAATTTATCTTCACTGTTAACTACTCCCATAAAGATATATGTGATTTTACACATAAGAGCTTTAAATTTGCCTTGTGGGCAATTTGTCTTCCTTTGAATATCGAAAAACAAACATTGAGAATATATGACTGTACATATATTTCATAGAAAATACGAGACAATGCGAATTCTATATATATATATGTTATATATATTTCATGCCAAATATATATTTGTAAACTCTTTTTATAAAGTTTATATGTACAAAAAATTATTGTTGCATAATTTATAATAATAAAGTATTCACAATTTTGAAATATTATTCACAGATAATGTAAAAGATTACTAGTTGACTTGTAGAGAAATCCAAGAAAAGAAGTGCATGTGTGTGATATGCAAATAGTTTTACATAAATGAAATGTGTCATAAAAACTAATATTTTATAAATAACAAGCTTCATATTTGTTTTGTAGCAAAAATAAAGAATTTTTTTTATTTAAGTCACAAACAAAAATATATGTTACTTTGTATTCAATTGATGTTTAATTTTGTTATTGAATTTATCACAAACACTTAAGATTGGAAAATATATATACGGTATGTTATACAATAATTTTTAATATAATATACAAATATCAAAGCAATATATGTCTAGTGATAATTTGTATAAATATGTAAGAGTTTTATTTATTTGGTTATTGAAATGTGTACGTTTTTAAACACGTTAACCCTAGGAATAATTTGATTGCTTTTATGATATATTTGAGAAGTAAAACTTTTCTTTTTATGTTAATGTGTATTATTTGACGTTATTAGAAAACTTGATATTCTCTGGGTTAATGAAAAAAGTGCCAAACCAAGTATTTATTTGAAGTATTTACAACGTTGCAGGAGGATTAACAGTCAGATTTTATCTAGAAAGTTTAGTGCTTTTTACAATAATATTGCGTTTTCGTATATGTGTATATATATATATATACATATACGTAATTACTGTAGCACTAGATGTTTTTTATATTATATATACTCGTATATATATAATATAAAAAACAAATTGAAAAAATATTTTTAACACATTTTAAAGCGTGAGAAAATTTTTATGGCTGTTACAAGTACTTTCAATAAAAAAATGTACCTAAATAGCTTGTAAATGGCAGCATGTTTATTATGTTGTTAACGAGAGAACAAATACAGAAACTAACATCAATAAAGAATCTATGATAACAATATTCTTTCTATACACTTATTTTTCACGATAAAATAAAAATTGGCTCAACTACAACTTATTATTAGCCAATTTACGTACATCTGACTTTAAGTTTTTATTATTTCACTGTTTTACATCAATTATAAGCCTGTTGAACATGTGTCTCTTTCTCTAACATTGACAGAGTGTGAAAGGGTGAAACATGAATACATAATTCTATATTATATTATTTATTGTGTAGCTTGCACAAGAGCTTCTGCAACTTCAACCGCAATAGCCGCCTCAGCCTTGTCTTTCTCTGCTGTTGCTGAGGATAGCTGTTGCTGAGCTTTGCTAAGAATCTCTCTTGCTGCAGAGTTATCTAAGTCTTCTACTGGATGGGCTTCTTCTGCCAAAATCTAGACAATAGACAAATGACATGGTATGTTTTTGAATTTTATTATGTGTATTACTTTTTAAACTGATTTAATATAATGAGAGCTATTAGATACCTGTACACTGTTATCTTCATTTATGGTAACTGTACCAGATGAAACAAACACCTTCTTGGTTGTACCACCTTCTTCATACACTGTAACTACTCCAGGTTTCAATACAGCCAAGGTGGGTACATGCTTCGGTAGAATACCAAAGGAACCGGAGAAGGAGGGTACGTCAACTTGACGAATTGCAGCTTGGTCATAAAATACCTGATACACAAACAATACAAAGTAAATATCTGTGAAAAAATAGACTTTTTATACTTTTCTCAATATATTAAATAGTGTTTTATTATACCTGATTGGCACCGGCAAATGTAAATTTCATTTGATCACCTGCTGGAGCATCTGCATAAGTTCTTCTTTGATTGCGGACGCATCTCAAATACGGGCGTAAAGTGCGAGCGAGAGTGGCCATTTTTTGCTGAAAATAAATGATTTTATTCAGAAACACGTATTCTTCATATGACACTGGTAAGAGGTTGTTACATCACAAGTGTATGATGCACATATAACTAACCACTTTCTGACACTGAACAACAAAATGGAAAAAGTGAGCAGACATTTTCTCAGTTACTGACACTTTTTGTCTACGAATAATTTATTCGTACTTACCGTATAAATAATTATATTGTTATTAAAAATTTCAGATGTGTATTAAAGTCGTGCGAAGTGCAGGTGATTCTCTGCAATCATCTGCAACTCTGTAACTGAGTTATCGACCGTGCGTAAGAATGTGCGGACAACACCGAGATATAAGAAGTACAGAGTTTCTAATAAAGATGTCTCAATTAAGTGTTAGGCGACGGGGGCGCTGTTAATCTTCAGTACAGCATTAAAACATCGACTAGCAGTCCATAGCTTTATATGAACAAAGTTATGGCGCGCTCGCTGTAATTTGTCGGAAAGAAGACGATTTTTATTTTCAACAAATACAAGAAAGGTAAGAAAGGGTTACAATTCTTTCTCTTCTATAATGTGTAACAATTTGCATTTTTAACAATCAGTAATATTTTTAACAATCTTATACAAAAAAGATGGTGTTTTCTTTCGTATTATAAATTTACAAAAATATCGTGTTTTTTTTTTATGAAACATGCGTTTTGAGAGTTTTGTAAATATATTTAAAGTCAAAATATGTATGCATGTTTATTTAATTTTCTCTTTGGTCTCTTGTTGCCATTAGTAAACGACGTTCCAGCATCGCGAAGATGACATCGATTACGTCGAAGAAGTTGTGAAGATAGTTACTCTATATTTAAGAACTCGCTGGCTCTTCTTCAATCTCCGTCGATTTCGCTGCTTGAAGAAACGGAAAGTTCGCTCTTATCCAGATTATGCCTAGAATTTATGTGCCTCTCGAGATCCCGTCTCCTGACCAACACCTTACCGCAGACCCCGCACTTGTAAGGACTATCGTCCGTCGCGTGCAGTCTCACATGTTTGTTGAGATTACTGGGATCACCAAATCTACGCGCGCAAATTCTGCACTGTAGCGGCTTGTATCCGTTGTGCGTCCTTATGTGAATTCGCAGGCCGTACTTTCTCGAGTAGATCTTCCCGCAGAAGATGCACTTGTAACCCATGCCACACTTGCCCATATCGCTGGCGATTCTCTCGACGTCCGCGGGATCCATTCTCTCGAGATCCGGTCTCTCTGCGACCCAGTAAGGCCTCGAAGTTGAATGACGACTTATCAGACCGCTCCCGACGCGCGACTCGTAAGTCGACGGATTCGGTAAGATCTCCGGTAAGGGATACGTGGAGATCGGCGAGGGATTATTCGAGGACGGAGGTGACTTTTCGTTCGATGAACACGGCGAGTCGTTTCTCAGTGAACGATTGGTATCGCTTTTCGATACTGTGTGCGACGGGCTACCGACCGGCAGCATTAACGACCCGAAGACGGGCAGAGGATTTAGTTCGAACGTGAAATTTCGTCCCGGATATCGGTTAAGAAACAGACTCGACCTCGAAGAAACGATCTTGCTCGACAAGAGCGTCCAGATGTAACTGATGTCCATTCGACCGCAGTCCAATGCCAAGTGCAATTTCAAAGGATTCGGGTACTCGAAGGAGGTGTTGCAAATGTGACATCTGTACGATACTGAACCTACGATCATTCAACATTGGTAAGTGGATATTTTTTAATATATTCAATATTTTTAATAACCCATCTGTCTATGGATTTGTGATCATAATTTTTTTTTCTCTTATAAAAATCAAGTGCTTAATTCAAAATCGCAACTAACAAAAGTAAGTTTATTGCTTTCGAAAAAAGATTGCTACTTTACAGTAAAGCTCTTACCTTGAAAATTACAATTCACCGGTCTAATAAATGGGATATTTAATAACGTCAGAATACTGTCGTCGAACCACATCAACAACGGTTCTCCTGATAAAATATTTCTTGTTGTTTTTAATATAAGTCCCGCACCATCATTGAACATAAGTAGAACGTTGTGACTTTGACTGTCTGTGGCCAATGTGATAATTTTTAGCCAACAGCACGGATTTACATATTCTTTTGCAAAAAGTCGACCGCCAGCTTCAATAATCTCGACAATATTCTAAATAAACGTAAAAAAATATTATTATGCATAATTAGAAAGATTAGAAATTTTGATTAAAACAAAATATGTATCTTTTTATACTTTATATAGATGTGTGCTACGTACATTTCGAATTACCGATGTATTTCTTTGAGATAATACATTCACGTTGATAATTTCTGTGGTAGAATTTTCGTGAAGAATTCCAGCAGCTTGAACGACCGGTTTGTCCAAACTAAAACTTGATCTAGATAAGTTGATGAATGTTTGGGACAAACATCTTTCTAATCTTCTGTCTGTTGTTTCATTTTCTGGAATTAGAGGATACATTACTGGGCTAGTTTTCTCAGCATTCATATCTCTCGTCAAAAGGTCCGCACTATGTAGTTATCACAAAAAAATTTTTTTCTCACTGACAACGTCAACAATAACGTTGTTAAGTTACACTCTACAAAGAATTTGAAGAAAAATGTGCATTTTATTTTCACGACGTAAAAGTTTGTGAAGGTGCATCTCAACGTGTTGATCACATTACAGAGTTGAGATGTCAACTAACATAGAGATGCACTTCCTGGAGGCTATAAATATGTCCTGCGCGGGAGGAGGAGCCACATTTTGGCGCGGCTGTTGTGCTCTCCCCTCTATTCTTTCTTATCTGAGATATGTGTGTAATTGTAGTGAAGAACTGGCGGGTCCTTCGATGCTGGCGAGCTATCGTTGGCGCAACTCTACAGAATGGGAGGAGCTAATTGGTCATGGGATGGTTTTTGGAGATTACCGCAGCAAGTACTACCCTTTGATTTATGTTGTACTATATATAATACATCAATTAAGGAAGTTTGTATGTTTAAATAAAAAGTTACCAACATGGAACAAAAATCTCATCAGATATTCATTAGACGTCCGCAGTTATGTGCTGTATCTAAACGTGGGATTTCTGTAAATTTTTGTCCTGTGTGTAAGCAGAGACTCTACAAAACTTTAAAACATCAAATGCTGAAGAACTGAAAGAATAAATAACAATCTTAAGAAAGAAAAATATATTTAATTACACATGTTATAACAATTGAAACAAAACAAATCAAAGTGTTGTATTTGATTCGATCGCGATCAGTTTAGATAGCGGTCGGTTTTTGCTCGTTTAATTGCATTTAAATTACGAAGATTTGACTAAGTTTTACGTCTGAAGTCATACTCGCATATATATATATATATATATATATTGTATCATTGTAAAATGTGATTTCTGCAATTCTGACGAAGACGCAGATTGGCAGGAGCGGACTTTTAGTACGCTCGATGGGGCTATAAAAGCTTCATGTGAAAGGACATTGTTTGACTCAGCTGCGTCTCACTACCCATCTCTGTACGATGGAATACGAAAGAGGGAGGGATCGGTCGAAAGGTGCATCTGAATCAACGGTTGATTAGGAAATTAAGTGGTTTATTCTTCTATGTTGATCGTGTAGGCGCGATATCGTTCGGATTTGCCTAATCTCGATGCACCCAGCACGCTCCTGCGTTATCTTGCCTCAGGTCTATAAGTGTCTCTCTCTTTTTATGTGCGAGCAATAGATGATCTTCATAAAGTGTATACATTTCATCGAACATGACATATTTCTGTTTAGTTTTGACGACAAAAGTTTATATTCATATGATAAACATTGCGCGTAATTGAACACAATGAAATATCACGTGACATATTTTCTTTTTTTTTTTTTTGTAAATGTGGACAAACAATTAATTTTAACAATTTACTTAATTTATTTTTCACATTTATATTTATTTTCTACACTTGTAGACGAATATCTGCTTTAGATATAATAGACGCATCTAAAAACCGCACGTATCTTGCTAGTGCCTGGTCAGAAACCAGAAGAAAGGTACGGTCCGTTCAGGTTGCGCTTCCATGGGTGACGTGATTCATCCGCGTGTACGATGTCGGAGCAGGGAATGACACGAGTGTTCACAAGCCGCACCATCCCTTGCACCAACCCCTCTCCTGGTCGGAAACTCGAGCACGAGTGTTTCACCGTATCCCCTAAATGTGCGCGGCAAGTGTTTCAGCCCCTTGCACGGTTTCGCGGACAGCAAGCAGCACGGAAGACTGTCCGTCAAGGTGTATCGGAAAAATCGTTTTCTTTAGGGAGAGAAACGCACGAAGTGAATGGTGCAAAATTTATTACCGCAGTTTATATAATGTTACACGCAATGTTGATTAATTTATTAGGTATCGCGGATTCATTACGCGATTGTATTACGCGAGTATAAAATAATTTAATTATTTGCATGTAGATTTAAATAATTTTTATTTTTTTTTTTTATTAATAATTGTTTTTCTTATCAATAATTTTCTCTGACATATAATATTGTGCAATATTGGCGACAATATACCTGTCTTTCTCGCAGATTATTGATAAATTTCGTTTGTCGCCCGCATCGCGGCCGAGGGTTGTGCTCTCCCTCTCTTTCTTCTTTCTCTAAAATCAGGGTGCAATTCAGTACAACCGCGATGCCAGCAAGCGAGCAAGTGTTCCGCCGTGACCAATGAGCCCCTTGCACGCATGTGTGCGCTTCCCAATGCGATATTAATATCGCGATTATCATCTACGTATTATCGCTGCACCCTCGTGGATGGCATGCTCAAAATAAACCGGCGCGGAAGCACCCTCTACGGTCTTGTACTCGCGTACCAAACCGCGCACCAAGTACCCGGTGATGGTGCGCGAAGAGACGCTGGTGCGTCTCGGACTAGCATTACTACTACGTAATGCGACAGGAAGGTTCAGGCATGAGTTTCATATTCGCACATATTTACGGAAAATGAAAAAATTTGGTTTTAATTATTTAAAAGAGATCATTTGTACACTGTGTAGATATAAAAACCCATAATTTAGAAAAAAAACTTTTCTGAAAATTATTACAGAATGACAACTGCAGTTAATGTAATATTGCAATCGCGCTTTATTATGAACCTTCTATATCATATCGTCATTATCGACAAGTATATTTTGCATACATTTAAAAGTGCATGACCACGATGCGCACGTGTCGAATTGTTCGGTGGCGAGAGATGTGCGCGGACTTGGACCCTTTTACGACGCGGAGACGGAACCAATCTTATTGTTTCGCGTCCCTTTATCGAAATTCTGAGTTATGGTCGCCTTTGCGGGGAGATGGATATAAAAATGATTCGTCTCGGTTCTGCAAGTGTCAAAAGTTTCTCCCCAATGCTACCTCACAAACAAGACGATGGCTTATGTATTATTAATATTCGCTGCAAATTGCGCTCTGCTGGATACGCGCAAATGTTTTTCCGATTTTCGTTAATTTGTTCTTATAGTTTTTTAACGGCTTGTTACATTTGCGCGTATCACAAGATATTAAAACTGTAATTACATAACGACGTGAAATATTTAAACACGCATTAATTTAAATTTGTGTGATGCATTTCTAAACAGTTGCAAATATCTGCGCGTGACGTTCTACGCGAGAGAAGTCAAAGTGCACTTCCGCTGTTCACGTGCCACGTCGACATATTGCTCGTGTCCCGCAGAAACGAGTGGCATGTAACATGACACGTGACCGCCGAATACCCTACAAACCCATTCTCTCATCCCCGATCATACGCTCCGCGTTTAAGGCAGTATTTAACCATTAGGAACTATTTACTTGATTTTAAGAGTCAATCCAATCCACGATTGTTCACGGGCAAATATTAAAATACGACAGTCTCGTTTTCACTGAGTCGAACATTCAGCGGATAAATGCGTGCACAAATGGTGTGATTTTAGAATTGTATAAAAACAATTATACAATTTACAAATACATGACACGTTACTGAATAAAAATATTTATCTGTCATTTGTATACAGGCCGAACTTATTAAATAGTAAAAACATTTATTTACAAAATGTGAATTAAAAGACTAGGACTGATATCATTCACGAGAGAGAGCGCGTGAATTTTTACCTTACCACTCAATTTTGCGGAGCAGAAGTTCGAACAGATTAGCACATGTTACACGAATTCGCAGGGAGAGAAAGAGAGAGAGAGAGAGAGAGAGAGAGAGGGAAAAATCACGTGGAGAGATGCAGGTGACACAGCTCACATGACGAAATAATGTCGGATCCCTCGGCGGCATGCCGGTTTCAATGAATTGGACATCTTTCGTCCCGCTTCGTCTCCCCTCACGCGGTGAAACTGCCCGCCTCCCCCGAAAAACACGACTCACTTGGCACACAAGTTTTGTGCATATAATGCCCGATACGCGAACGCACCCCCTGCTTAATTTAATCCAATACAATATGTCCCCTTCTCTCACCGTCGCGAGGGATGAGTTAAAGAGGGTGGGTGGCTTTTTAAAACTGTGCCGATCTCAATTCAGCGTGAAACCTCATCCTATTATGATTGATCTAATCCTGATTGGAGCGGACAGGTTTTTTACTTTCGCGGTGTACCGGCGGTCTAAATCCGCGTGTCGAGTGAATTCAAAAATAAATTTTCTCTTTAGTTTCCGAACGACACGAACGCTTCTATTAATTTTTATGCACAATATAAAAGTAATATGTAATATCGTGAAGAAATCGTCTTNTANNAANAAAAAAAAAAAAAAAAAAAAAGAAAAATACAAAATTACTTTAAAAAAGAAATGTTGTAAATGAAGCAAATGAGATTAATTGGTGGGTAGTAATGAAAAAAATCAAGATCACTTTACGTATCAAACTCCTTTATTTTTTTTATTTGATATATACTAGTTTTATTTAAATATCTTTTCCGCTGGCTAAGAAAAAAAAAGAGTAAACCACAAAATTATATCTTAGAACGTAATCGGCTTCTTAATCTATCTTGAAAGCATTGTGCTGCGTTACATATTTCCCAAGTCAGTCTGAACTGTAGACAAAAATTAAGTTGTTAGCATCGGATATACGTTTCAAGGGTAACGCATTAAACGTATGCTATTGCATAAAAAAAATAGACGTCAAAGTTTGACAATAATTTTATATTGCCGCGCACAATTGACTTCGAGAATCGATAATTAATTTCTGATGATTTTTTTTCTCGATCTTTCGGTGGTTACTGTTTGCAATAGGGATCACGAGCGCGCTGCGGTGACCTGTCATAGGGTGCAAGCGGAGGAGATGGATTTGTTGTACACAGCTGTGTACACTGCTTAATGTAGACGGCATCGAGCTTGGAAATTGCTTTTGTGCTGGTTAAAGTGAATCCTTAAATCCGAAAGCTAACAATATTTTGCTCGTTTTTGGATGAAGCTCGTCATCAACGTTCACGTAGACTCGCGCGATAATGAAAATTATCAACAGATTGTGTGAATATCGCCTCCGCTTGTACTTCTTTGATTTCGTCATCTATAATTCTGCTTCAATTTAAAGCGTTGAGCAAATTTTCGAAATTTGATTTTTAATTTAAACACAAAATTAAAATTTTTGTTTAAATGCTATATGTGAAATATAAACGCGACACGTACCGAATGTTGTGTTTATCCCGCTAAATCAGTTTCTTCCATCGAGTTGAAAGCACCATTTTCTTCCATCGCGGGTGTTTCGTAGTTCACGAAATCGCTGTCGGTTGCACCACCTTCCAATGTAGCTTCGCTCATTAGTCTCCTCTCCCGTAAAAGATCGTATTCCTCACCGAGCTGTCTGTACGTTTGTGCGCGATTCTCCAAGATCTCTCTGATTATTTCTGAAAAAATTTATATATTTCGCGAAAAATGTCGCGAGATGAAAATTTTTCGCTTTCGATTTAGCTTCTTTTCAACTTGAAACTCACCCATCAACAATTCTCTGCTCTCGATCATGTTACCCATTTCTTTCTTGACCTCCTTCATCAGCCACGGCATGAAACCTTCCTCGACATCTGAAACAAATTGACGTTCGCATGCGCGTGTTAGCGCTAATTCGCATCGCGAAGAGATGAAAAGTGAGATGAAATGCAGGGGCGGAACAAAAAAACTCAATATTTTTACGGTAGAATCGCAAAATAAAGAGAAATTAAGGAAACCTTTATGGTTAACAAATTCAGAAAAAGTAGTCAGTGTTTCTCTTGCGAGCTCACGAACCGGCCTTGATTTCGTCCAGTATAAAACCGGACATCTTCAAGCTCTCGAGAATCGCGGGCAAAAGCTCGGCGATGTATCCCGTCAACAATACCGCCGCCGCGACTCGTTCCTCGGCTTCCTTCTGAGCCCTCATCTCTTCCTCTTGTTGTTTCAGGCGTAGCTCCTGGAGAAAGGGATTTTTTTTTTTTTTTTTACGCGTTTTCATGCTCGCGCGAGGCGCGTATCTATTTATAATGAAATGTGAACGAGAAAAATAGGTGACAAGAGCTCTATCGGAAAGACGCTCACATCAGAAATAATCAAGATGCGAACGGAAGATTGAATACCTTCTCTTCTCTGCGTCGCCTATCTTCTTCTGCCAGTCGTTTCTCCTCAGCTTCCTCGGCGGCGCGTAATTCGAGGAATCGTCTTTGCTGCGCCTTGAGCGCGGCGATTTCCTCCTCCTCTAGAACTTCGATCAAGGCCTGTTCGATGGTTTTGCCGACCAGCACGTCGAGAATCGGTTGAACCTCGGTGTCGTAGTCGAAGAGCTTGAAAGCGTGATATTGTACATAACAAAATTGGTTACACAAATATTCACGTGTAATACAATTTTTAGTGCGATTAGCGCGTACTTCGCCGGGTTCGATTTGAGTGCCACAGTCGCGACCAACCTTCTCCGAATAATACACTGGTGTTACCGGTTTCTCCATGAACTGCTCGGTTTGTGTGCCTACTTCGAACTCGTCCGGTTTCTCCGTCAGCTTGAATATATATGATCAGGGAAATTTATATTCTTCTTCTAATATTCTTTAAAAATAATCATTTGTTATATATATATATATAACAAATAATAAGATTTTATAATTAACCTCTTCAAGATAAAGTTCGGTTTGCACCGGTTCGTGTTTTCTGCCGGGAACCGGAGGTGGCGAACCCGTTCTCATGACGAGTGCTTTGGAAGTCTGCAGTTGAGCACGTTTCCTCGCCAAATGTCTTCGTCTCGCTTCCGCCTGCCTAGCTGCTATCGATTGTTCCCCATCGATCTGGATGAACAGAGATTCCGTGAAAGAAGATACGAACTTTTCGTCCTGAAAAAAGATCAATACTTACGACAGTGGAAACGCAAGTGGGCGCACTTTCGCGAGCCACGCGTCGATCAAACATCATCTTTCCGAAAGGAACCGACTGATCGCTGCAAAAAATAAAAAAAAGAGTCGATTTAAATCAAAATTCGTTTATTATCGGTGATGCGCTAAAGAAATTCGAGAAAAGCTCAGCTGAGCTCAACATGCTGAGTAATAAATTGCGAGACCCGTCGTTCTTGGGCAAACATCGGCAAACTTTATATTACCAAGGATTTTTCTTTGAATTGCAATACGTATACCGTACGCGCAAAGTTTTGCTTAAAAAAATATGCATTGTTTAGAATACTTCAGACAAAACGGTTTAAAAAAAGTTAAAAATTACGCCCCACACTATATGCGGTAGATTTCAACGTGGAAATAAATGATTTTTTTTTACATAATCTGTTATTAAAAATTATGTTCACGATAGATACACTTGCTCGCTCGCACTTAATGAAGCATTCGTTTTGATCGCGTAGCAACATCACAACAATAGTAATGTCTACGACCCTACCGCACGCTAATGCATTTGATAATGATCACGACAACGTCCATCGCGGGTGCAATAAAACGTTTACGGCTTTCACGTGCAGAATCCATCACTTTTGTCTATAATGTATTTACAGAAGCCGCTAGACGCTTTTGCGAAGTTTACTGATTGATTTTTTTTTCGCTCCACATTGAATAAAACTTACACATAATTGCTACATTTTGTTAAATTCGCTTATGTAATAACAGTTGTGTAAAAAAAAAAAGGATCTGTCTAGTGGAAAAATTGCGAGTAAAAATTTTTTTATTATTCGAAAAAGTCAGCGCCAATCGCGTTTTTGTTCGGGGGGAACATTCAAGAGAGCGTGGATGCGCCAGGAACGACGACGGCCTTTCGGGTGCGACCGCACGCAATAAATCGGACCAACGGGAAGAAAACAAGCGGAACGGAAAGCAGCTGCTATCAACTAAAAAGACCAGTGATAAGTGTGGTGCCACTTGTAAGGTGTTTTCGTTACCCGCGGAGGCTCGGCAGCATATTCATCATGCCCTCGATCGGTTCCAACTTTTTCGGTAAGGCGCGCGGCGCCTGCGGGAATCTGCTAGAAAAACAATTCCCGCTCTTCTTATACGCTCTTTTCCTCCTCTCGAAGTGTCGTTTTTCTTTTTTTCATCTTTTTTTAATCGAACTCGTCGTAGATGATCGATTTTTTGTTTTTAGAAACATCGTTTCTCTCTCTCTCTCTCTAAAAATTTTCTCGAATTATCGAAGTTTGAAACCGCATTGAAAAACATGAAATTTCTGAACAAAGATGTATTTACTTAAAAAGTGTTTCCTAATATGGAATAATCTACATCGGTTCTCCTAGAAATTCGCACCTCTGACTATAAGTGCCGCTTGCGCATCGAATGTGTGTGACTCCGTTTTCTTTATCTTTTATAGATTCGTATCTTTGTCTGTTTCTGTACCTATACAGTGAAATATAATTCGCAAGAACACACACGCGCGGATGCGTAGGCGGCTTAAGGCGACGATACCGCAGTGTCAATTGGACAGCGAGGGTGACGGGTTCGTCTTTACATAACGCGTGCTACGTCACCAATAATAGACGTCACTTACGCCGGCTCGCACCTCCTGAACCTTCTCGCACGCTCGTCCAAGGTCGAGGTACTGGCGAGAGTAGTGGCGTTCATCATGCCGAGGGAAAAGTCCACGGTAGCCTTGAGAGCGGCCGGGCATCGGGCGTTGTGACTGCTGTGACGTACTTCCGGCCTCTTGGCCAGCGATATTAACGGCTTGAACTTGTTCTTCAGAGGGCATCCGTCCGTCGCCGCCGTCTCTTCATCGTTTCCACTGGTGGGCGCTATGCCGAGCAGGGCCGCCACTTCCGGCGGCGGCATTAGAAATTCCCCTGTCTTCACGGTCGTGATAAACGGCTTTTTCTGCGAAATCGATTTCTTGGGCGACCTGCGGCCTTGCTCGGCCTGCTCCTGGATCTTTCGCAGTTTCGCATTCAACACTTCGTTGAAGTCCTCCGTTGACATAATGATACTGGACTTGGCCGTAGGTGGTCTCTCCTCAACGTCCAGGCTGTCCTGGCTCTTGCTCTGGTGTTTCTTTCGTATTGTCAACGGATTGACCTGATTCGATTGTAGACTGGCCAGGACCAGGTGCTCGTTCGACTTGCTGATGCGTCTGCGATTGCAGAAATCTTCGTTTTTCATTGTGTTCTTCATGTTTTTCATGGCGAGCCGCAGTGGGTTTATCTCCTCGTACTCATTGACGTTTAAAAGCGGCAGACTCGAGTCCAGACCGTCCTTCTGCAAAATCGCAAAGGCCGGAGGATCCTTCATCTCGTGCTCAAAAGATCCCGCCTCCGTCGACGGCGCCAGAGCCGAAATACCAGCGGGCATCCTTCCGCTTTCTTCAGACGTTCGATTTCGCGACGACGGGCATGGCAAGACGATCGAAGATGATGATCACGCTCGGGTGACGTGTTTAACTTTTCAAGCGTGGTTTTCCTTTAAAATTCAACGATTGCATTTTTTTTTTTTTTATTCGAGCAATTTCACTCGTCATTTATGTTACGCAGAGAAAAGAAAGAATCACATTTGCAAAATATCAGAAAAAGCGATTAGAGTCTATTGATCGCTCATGGATCACATACGTGTATCCTCGAAATGTGAGAAAACAAAGTTGCTGAAACGCGATCGTGACGCTCGTAATTATCCCTTTAATTATTCACCGATAATTCGTCACGAGATCTAGCTTGTCTAATTATCGAGCAGCTATTATCGCGATATAACAACTAAAAAATTAATCGACACGTGATACTCATCGTAAAAAGACTGGTAGATTTTTTATTGTACTGACGAAATAATATGCAATATAAAATATGAAGATCCGTTACATATGAACTTTTAAATAATTTAATTCATCAATTATTTCTTTCTGCGAAAGAGCAATTATCATCTCTACATATGTACAATCTCTAATTGGTGTTTATAAACAGATGAGAAACTCTACGCAAACTGTCGCGGTTTCGTTGCTACCGAATAAACATAGAAATTATTTTCACGTGTCTTCAGTTTACATGCAAGTTCTAATTCTTTTCGAAGTTGTTATCAACCTTCAATCGCCGTTAAATCGGCTTAAATACGTACTGTGCGAAACTGGCGCCAAACCGGTGGTTTTGCTAGCCGCGTACAATCGAGGAAAGAAAACGTCGTACGCTGTGAGCAGCCGCGACATTACTGACTGGGGTTAGTCGAGAGATGGACAATGTCCTTAGAATCGACCGCTATAGACCGCAGTCAAGTTGCACATATATTCTCTCGCCCTGCTGCCGGCCACTCAATAACGTTGACCACCGTGGACGTTGCGCATGCTTAAGTCCAGAGGGTGGAAATATAGCCAGGCTTCGCGCCCGCCGTGTGCGCGTTCTACGGGGAACCTCGTGTTCCGGGGGATTTCCAACCCCAGGCAACGTTTCAAGGTGAAACCGCACAATTTGATCATGACTATGTTGCGAAAGCTAAGAAGCCTATAGCTCGATTCACGCTTTTTGCTACAAAACGAATCTAGGAATCTATATGTTTTATTTTTAGCAACGTCAATGCGCACGTGTCGCTTGCTGCGTTCGAAGAGAAATTAGTATAAACTCAGACAACCTTGGTGTCTGGGAGGTTTGTTAGATACTCTTTCCGCTCGCGGAATTATATAGGTAGCTGTGCTCCGATTTGTAAGAGAAACAAGGTGGGCTGTTTGTCGAATGTGAGTGCACGCGATGCGGTGGAAAATGAATTAACAAGATGAGTAAGGGATTTTGTGTAATGCCACACCACTTATGCAACTGGCGCGCATGAAAATTCAGATTGGGGGGAGGGAGTATTAATCAGATCTAACACATGAATATGGATCGCGTTTCTATGGACATAATAATACACGCGTCTTATACGTATTTACAATTATACTAAATTGTATAACGATTCACATAATGCGCGTCGCGCACATTGTGATAGAAATTAAATGTCTTTTGGTAATTAAAGGGAGAGAAGTCTACAACTTCGTTGACTTGTGTCTAAGATCGTATCGCAATCATCCGTAATGGTTTCGTGTTGCTCGAAGATATATTACACCCGTTATTTACGTACATATAGCGCTTATTAATCTGGTTATGAGATCTATTCAAACCGAGTCGAGTTTGGCTCAGGTGGCACATACGTTCTTGAAAAAGATTTCGTAAAAAGATTGTTGCTCTTTACACGAGCGCCGCACGAGTGACATGTACGAGGCTGCGTAACTTTGTCATTATTAACGAACTTTGACAGAGAAATATTGATCCAGCGAGTAAAAAAAAAAAAAACAAAAAACATTTATTGAAAAATTTGTCGACAATTTTGCAGATGACACGACAAATTGTATTTTTCTATTTTTTGCGTGTGAGCGCGATTATCTGATTGGTCGATACCCGAATAGTTCTGCTGTAAATAGCACCACGAACTATTGTTTTTTTTACGGTCGCCAACAACTGGGTATTTTATGTCCTATCGATTACCATGAAAGAATTACCGCACATTTTTCGAGAAACTCTGTTAACAAAGAGATGATTTTTGTTACGCTGCTACTTGACGCAGCTTGGAAAGAATTTGTTTTGAGAACATGACTAACTTGACGACTGATGAGTTTTGTATATAAATTTATTTTTTCCACAATAAATATACACAATTAACTAGAGAATCAAGTCTTAGTTTAGGAAAAACATTCTTGATTTACAGAAAAAAGTAAAACTTTTTATTTTACAACGCAAAGTTTTTGTACACATGTCCTTGAATAACTTTTTTTCTCACTTGGATTTTCAATCACATCGCGTGCGATCGTATGCCTAAGAGGCCGATATTCGCGGTAAAATGAACGATAAAATAAATATAGGACAAGCACGCACACAAAAATTTATACATCTTTTTAGTTTCTTCTGGCCTACTTAAATAAAAAAAAAAAAAATTGAGAGCACGGTTTTGTAAACTTCTCAACAACATGTTGACCATATCGATCACTTTGTCGTTTTATAAGGAACGGATTTTCTCGCGTTTGAGACAACTTTATGTAGGAGGTCATTATTGTTAATTCATGATCGATTGTCTCGTCCGAATGTAACGTAAAGCGTGCGTTTTTTATTCTAATCAATATCACTCGCAGGTTATTTTATTATGTAACATCCGAACAGGGATTAACTCTAAATATAGTGCGCGATGGACACAGTTAGGAAAACTAGTCTTTAACTAGATTGTTCTATGTATCCGTAAAACAAAGTGTGTACACAAAAGTGAAATCCTTTTAAGTCAAATTTTTCTTTTTATAATGACACTTTACCACGTATTTTATTATGTAATGTTTATTATGTTATTTAGTGTGTATTTGTAGAAAAAAAAAAAAACAGATAATTTTCTCTGTGAATAATTCTATACTGCGATAATAAATTTAATTATTATGATACTCAATAAAGTGATAAATAAGCCGCGATTAACTTGAAGAATCGTTTCCTTTGGTTTACAAGTGAACAAGCACAAACATGTAACTGTGATCTCGAAATCGCGTGAAACAAGTGCATAGCATCACACTTTGTCCGACATTTGACGATAAAATCAACGGCGTTGCCGCCACCGCGGTCATTCCCTTTTGTCGTCTATAAGCATAATAATCTATAAATTAAATGGCCGTTGTGCATTATTGACTTGCAGCGATTTCCTTAGTTTATTGATATTCTCCTTTTAGTTCAAAGATTCTCAGCCTTGCTAATTTATTTATTTTATTTTCTTGGAGGAATAAATATAACACAATTATTATAATCTGTTTTTCTTGCGATAATAATAACGTGTTCTCTTTAATTTAGAAAAATTGTGAAATATGTGTGTATCCATTACTCCAGTATGAATACTGCAGTTACATTGTAACATTCTTTTTTAATACGCGTGAGAAAACAATTAGACACGATCACGTTACGTGTGTCGGACATAAAGAAATCTCCTCTAAAGTTTAAAGTTCACACTTCTTGTGTGAACTTAGCACTCAATGTTAAATATGAAAGATGTACTTTAAGTGAAATACATTCGAACACGATTGTGTTACAGACTTGTGCCATGCTCGGAATCATTAATTCAGAGAATGATTAGAGAGTGTATATTTGCGCGATATCGTTAAACAAGAAAAAAGCACACTTTACACAAGAAAATAACACACACTGTACACTTGTTGCGTCAACAATCATGCAAACATTTTTAACTATATATTTGCACATTTGTTTTTATCGATGTAAATAAAATCTCGCGTAGTTGTACGATATATCGTCAGACCTAATTAGACTTTTTAACAATCCTTCTTTTTCGTGGAAAAAGGATCATTTATATTCTGAGGTGTTAAAAACCCACATATATGTAATTTAAAGTTTGTCGATGTTTGTCAAGGAGTTTTCAAAGTTTCAGAACTTTATCGCGCGCACGCAAAGGTGACACGTTTAAGACGTGTGTCGCGTATATCTCGTGTTTATATTTAGCAAAAACAAATAATTGATTGTACTCACATCGGAGGATTTCTGTATTTTTTTTGAATGTGCAATATTGCCCTCGGACTCTTCACATAAGTGTAGGTTTCCCTCCTGTCGGATATTTCGGAGGGTATGGTGTAAGATTGCAATCCTCGATTACACATCCGACACTGTTCCCTCGTTCTCGTAGCCATTGTCAAATGTTAACTTTGTCTCGCACAAAATTTTATTGAAAATCCGGTTCTCGAAATTGTGTGAAATAGCGCTGCCTGCGTTTGTCAGCTCTTTCACGCGAATCCGCGATGTGTCAAGGCGGATCCTGTTTATCACACACACTGTCTGTTGTTATAGAAACAGCTTAACTCTTTGAAATTCCTTTTATTGATATAGCGGTCTTACCGTTCCGTATCCAAGATACGAAACTTCCAGTTTCATGATGTAAAGTTATCTTTATGACATATGTAAGTTATAAATTTACAGTATTATTTATAAAAAAGTAAATATTAATGTAGGAGTGACTTTTTTAAATCAAAAGTATATACTGATATTATATACATAAAATGTTAAGAATAACGCTTTTATTCTTTTTACTACAGTGGCGTAATCTACCAACACTTAATGAAATTAAAGAAACTTTTTTTTTAGCAGAAAATAATATTAATAACACAGTTTTAATTACAAGAAAAACACATATTACAAAATTTACTTCTATAACTCTTATCAATGCTCACGATTTAAGTACGTGATTAAAAAAATTTATTAATTTTTGAAAAAAATGCAATTAGATGTGCAAGAAAAGGTAGGTTTCTATTTGAACGACAAACAAATCAATAACTATTGAAGGTAACAGTATTATTATCTATTACTAATTCTATAGTTTCCTACTTTATCGAATTCAGGAGTAGGTTGCGTTTGTTGCCAGTAGTGGCGCATTAAAATATAAATATTGCACTTGACGCAAATAAGTATATAGCTAATAATTACTGATAAAAAAATTATTTATTAATCATATAATCAATCTTTGTACATCTGTCAAAAAAAAACCTAAAAAATCTAGTTAGTTATTAGATAATTGTAAATAGAAATGCGCTCTATAATGTTTAATCCGAGATAGATACGTTATTTTATGTGACGTTTGAGAGATAAATATTATCCAAATATATTTATAATCGTGAAATATGAATAAATGTAATACAAGCAAATACGTATTTAAGATAAAAATATAGAAATATTATATTCATAATATTATCTTGATAGCGAGGAGGCGGCTTTATCGAGGAGACATAATCAGTCGAAGAAGTAGACGACGAAAAGAAGGAGGTTTGAGCGTAGGTGGTGGTTCGATTTGGAAGTAGAGGAGGAGGAGAAGGGCAGAGATTTTGGCACCCTGCTGTGCCTCCTAATTGCCTCGCCTTCCTTGCCTCGACCACGTCCACATCCAGCGCGCCCTTGAACCCTCTTGTGGGTCCACGGCTCCTAAAAGCCCACCGAGCCTTGCATCTCCTCCTTCACCTCCTCCACCTTATTCTACTGCCGCCTCCGCCTTCTTCCAGTCTCTTTCTTTTTCTTTTCACTCAGGACCCTGAATAAGCAACATCATCTATCATACTGCGCGAAACGATATATTTGTTTTGTCGGACCTTTTTAATTATTTACAACCAACCCACAAGCGCGGAATCTTCCGGGATCCACCCTGAGA